TCTGGCTCTAAAATTCCACGTCAGTGAGTCAGTGATTTCAGACCTCGCAGTCACCCATTCATGAAGAAAAGGAACTTGAGACTCTGCCTAGAAAGTAACAGAGCCACAAGGAATGACAGGAGAGGAATCCCTTGGACCAGGCTCCCCTCTTGTTCATTTGGAAGGACTCGAGAAGTCCTTGCACACAGCCTGGCCTCCTGGCGTTGCTTCATTCATTCACTCGCTCTCGCTGAGTGCCTTCTGCTTAGTAGGTCCTGGACACAGCCCGCCTCTGATGCCCCTTCCCTCCTAACACAAATGGAGCCATCCCCACCTCCACCCTGCACATGTCTGGTGGTTGGGTGGTGTATCTACTGAAAGTGCGCAGCCACAGCCCAGGCTCACCCTGCCCTCCCTTTGTCTCTGTCGTCCGTCCCCCGCACCCCCCCCCCCCCCCCCCCCCCGCCTTCCTCCTCCAATTGACACCAAACTTCAGGGGCTGGAGAGCAAATGGCTTTGCATTTATCACCTCCTAATACCCTATATCAGAGGACAGAGATTTTGTCTGTCTTTTCACTGCTCTATCTCCACACTTAGCACAGCAACTGACACACAGTAGGCACTCAACAAATGCTGCAGTGATTGTGCCCCTGCGTGAAAGTGGATGAGTATGTCTCTTGGAGCTAAATCTAGAAATACAAGTCCTAGGTCACAGGGCATATATGTTTGACACTTTGCTACATGTTGCCAAGTTTCCCTGTAAATTCGCAAAGTCGTCTGTCCTCCCACCTGTTGAGTTACCTTGTGAATCCTTGATACTGTCAAACTTGTAATTTTGGTCAATCTGATGGGTGAAAAATGGTACGTCTTTGTTTAAATTTCCCTTATTACTGATGAGACCAAGCATCTTTCCATGGGTTTGATGGCCAATTTTGTTTCTAAGAATTGCTTATTTTTCCCATTGAGTTTTTGTCCTTTTCTCCCTGATTTATAGGAGATTTTTGTTTCTTTACATTCTGGGTTCTAATCCTTTGTTATGTGTGTTGGAAATATTTCACCCCTCAGGCTTGTTTGGTTTTCTTTTGTCAAATAGATTATTAAAATTTTGGCTTGGTCAGTCTTTTCCTTTACGTCTTAGTTTTCTCCTTATGCCTTACTTAAAAATTTCTGGTCTGGCCCAGTGGCGCAGCGGTTAAGTGCCACTTCTCAGCGCCCGGGGTTTCCCGGTTTGGATCCCGGGTGCGGACATGGCACTGCTTGGCAAGCCATGCTGTGGTAGGCGTCCCACATATAAAGTAGAGAAGATGGGCATGGATGTTAGCTCAGGGCCAGTCTTCCTCAGCAAAAAGAGAAAGATTGGCAGTAGTTAGCTCAGAGCTAATCTTCCTCAAAAAAAAAAATTTCTTACTCCCAGGGCCAGCCCCATGGCCAAGTGGTTAAGTTTGCCCGCTCCACTTCAGTGGCCCAGGGTTTCACTGGTTTGGATCCTGGGTGCGGACATGGCACCACTCATCAAGCCATGCTGAGGTGGCATCCCACATGCCACAACTAGAAGGACCCACAACTAAAAATACACAGCAATGTACCCGGCAGCTTTGGGGAGAAAAAGGGAAATTAAAATCTTTTTTTAAAAAAAAATTCCTACTCTAGCATCATAAACATATTCTTCTAAAATGCAAACATTTTTAATTTTAAAAAATATTTTGACAGTTTTTATCCATCTGAAATTTGTTTTTGTACATGATGTGGAATAAAAATCTAACACAATATTTCCCCCAAATGAAAAGCAAATGTCCTAACTCCGTTATTTGTTGTCTCCATCTGATTTGAAATTCTACTCAGCATTTACTAAACTTTGATATACATGGGTCTGTTTCTGGACTCTTACACTCTTCTGATTTTTTTGTTGTTTTAAAAAAATTTCCATGGCAATACCCTACTTAAAAAAAAAAACTCTGTGGAAAATTTCAAATGCATGTAAGAGCATATGTGTGTGTGTATGTATCATGAACCTGTCACTCAGCTTCGACCATTAGCAATTTGTGGCTGATCTTGTCTCATCTATTCTCCCACCCACTTCCCTCCCATGCATACTCCTGAGTATTTTGAAGCAAACTGTAGAGTCATTTCATATCTACCATTTCTATATGTATCTCTAAAACATAAAAAGTTTTTAAAAATTACACAAACAAAAAAACCCCTTGCAGTTTTTATATATATATTTTTTTGAGGAAGACTGGCCCTGAGCTAACATCCGTGCCCTTCTTCCTCTACTTTATATGTGGGACGCCTACCAGAGCATGGCTTGCAAGCAGTGCCATGTCTGCACCCGGGATCCGGGCCAGTGAACCCCAGGCCACCAAGCAGAATGTGTGCATTTAACCTCTGCACCACCTGGCCGGCCCCTACCGTTTATATTTTGAAGAAATGACACCTTTTGTCCTGTGGAGTTTTCCTGCCTGAATTTTGCTGATTGTATACTCATGGAGTCAATTAACCATACTTTAAAAAGTAACATAATTTCTTTCTTTCTTTCTTTTTTTTTTTTTGAGGAAGATTGCCCCTGAGCTAACATCTGCTGGCAATCCTCTTCTTTTTGCTGAGGAAGACTGGCTCTGAGCTAACATCCGTGCCCATCTTCCTCCACTTTATATGTGGGACATCTACCATGGCATGGCTTGCCAAGCGCACCTGGGATCCAAACTGGTGAACCTGGGGTGCCGAAGTGGAATGTGCAAACTTAACCACTGCGTCACTGGCCGGCCCCTATAATTTCATAATATGTTACTGTTTATGAGATCTGGTATGGCAATTTCCCCCTATTATTTTTCAAAAATCAGATGCCACTTCTTGTGCTTTTCCTCTTCCATATGAATTTTATAATCAACTCTGTAAGTTCCATGACAAAACCTATTCAGATTTTCATTGGAGTTGCCTTGAGCTTTTAATATAGAGAATTAACATCTTTGCAACATTGGAGCTCCCCATCCACTAATAGCCAGCCCTGGTGGTGTAGTGGTTAAGTGGTGCTCTCAAGGCAGCAGCCAGTGTTTGTTTCTCCATCAGGGTACCACACTGTCTGCCTATCTGTTGTCATACCATGTCAGCTGCATGTTGCTGTTGATGCGGGGTCGGTGAGCCGAGGAGTCGAAAGAAAGATTTCTTGGACTCTCAAGATCTGGCAGTAGTGCTCTTTTATTTAGAGAATAGTGTAGCATGGGGACAGGACCCATGGGCAGTCAGAGCTTCTGCTGCCGCCGCTTCTGCTGCCCCCGCTGGCATGGGGACAGGACCCATGGGCAGGCAGAGCTGGTGCATGGGGACAGCACCCACGGGCAGTTAGAGCTCCTGCTGCTGCCCCGAGTTGAGGGTTAGGGCTAATTTTATAAGGCATGGGTATGTGAGTCATCTCTTTACCAAGACAAAGGAAAGAACATGGAAAAAAGTTAAAATGGTATCAGCGCAGGTGGGGTCTGGCCATTGGGTGGTCCCACGACTTTTAGACAAGAATCAAATCAGATTAAGTAAAGGTTAGAAAGGTTAGAAGCCACCACCCTAAATCAGTTACATGAGATTGCCAGACAGCAACCAACTTAAACTCTTGCCTTCCGCATTAAGAGTTTCTAGGGACAAGGTCATCTCTCTTCTTCTTCCTGGTACAGAGAGGGAGGCACCTTTTACAGACAGAGATTTACCTTACAAACGTAAATGTGTCCCAACAAGGGCAAGTTCCATTCCTCAGAGCCTCCTTCCCTGTCCCAGTTTATCAAAAGCAATCAGCCCCAAACAATCCCGATGCCAAAGAGACATATCCTGGGGTGGCCAATTTCAGGTCCCTACAAGGTCATGCCCCGTTCCTTCACAAATGCAAATGTCTCTCAAAAGGGCAAGCAAAATTCCAGTCCTCGGAGCCTGCTTCTCATCTGCAGTTTTAAAAGTAACCAGCCTAAAATCCTCATCAGCTGTGATGCTGAAAGCTATACCATCCGGTATTTCTAATACTAGCAAGGTCATCCATGGTGGACAGGTTTCAGTGGAGCTTCCAGATTAGGAAGGACCTGACCACCCACTTCCAAAAAAATTGGCCAAGAAAACCCTATGAATAGCTGCCGAGCATTGTCCGATACAGGATGGGATGGTCAGAGTATGGTGCAAAAAGACTCAGCAGGGTTCCACTCTGCTGTATACAAAGTCACTAGGGAGTCACAACGGACTCAAGGGCACTAACAACAATCCATTAATAAGATTTATAACCTCATTTAATTATCTTTATAGTTATTCGACGAAGTTTTGCAGTTTTCCCATAAAAATCTTAGGCTTGTGGTTTTTAAAAAACTTTGTAGTGTTTGTTGGTACTATGAACAGCAATTTTCTTTTTGCTCTTATTTTGTAATTTATTATTGATGATGTATAGGAGCAGACGTTCTTAATTCAAACCCCATTTCCTCAACTTATTATGTGATTTTGGACAAATTTACTCAAATTCTCTGAGCCTTTGTTTTTCTCTTCCATAATATGATGACAAAACCAGGGGTGGACCAGTCCGAATTAAAACGGAGGAGGAAGTACCCAATAAACCACATTTCTAAGCCTGTAACACCAGGGTGTGGAAGCGATAAAGGTTTGAAAGACTCCTTCACGTTTGGTAGAGAAGCTGAGGGAGAGTCTATGTTTCATACAGGGGGACTCCATGTTAAAACGTAGTGAATTCCTATGAACATTTAAGGCACGATGCACAACTACATGGAGAATAATAAAATAATAAAATAAATTATTTTCTTTCGGGGAAGTTTTAGGGAGGCTCAGGATGCGCACCGTTCTGTTATCTAAATCAACTCCCCCATCTCTTCAGTTGGTACCACCTTTTCCAATTGGTTTGCAGCCGAGCATTCTGGGCTTTGTAGTAATTTCCTTACTAGAGTTGTTCCAATGGGCTCACGCAGCCGCGTGAGACTACATTTCCCAGGAGCCTTCCGGGCCGGGTGTTTGCCTGTCCGTCGCCCTGACTTCCGGCGTCGCTGCGATCTCTAGGGCCAATCGGAAGGCTGGGATTGGCCATTTGCGGCACCCTGATTGGTGCGTTCGACTAGAGCGCCTGGTTTCAAATTTTCAACGGTACTGAATGAATCCCGCGGCTGGTGTTGCGGGCGCCCGGTTGTCAGAGCCGTGGTGAGGTGAGCCTTGGGGAGAAACCGGCGCAGCTGGGGCGCGGGGCTGCCTCTCTCTAATTTTTGAACGGCCGGAGGTCGTCTCCAAGCCCTTGGCGGGGTTTGCGCCTCTAGGCCCGGGCTTCTCTGGCGGTTGGGACGCCGTCCTGGCGGGCGGAATGGGAGCCGGGCTTCGGGCCGCCCTTCTCTTCGCGACAGGATTTTCCCTGGAAGTCTGTCGGGCGCGGGTCTAGCGGGCTGTGTGGAGGTGGAGGCGGAGGCCGACCATGGGGAATAGCGGGAAGAAGGAGTTGTGGGAGGCTGTGGGCAGATAATAACGGCAACGACAGTTATTATAGTTCTTACCACGCACCCATGAACCAAGCACCTGCGTGCGTTTCTCGAGTAGTTTTCACACCAAGCCAACGAAGCAGGTGCTGTTCCTAGCCCCCGGTTGTAGAAGGGGAAGCCGATGCCCGCAGTGTAGACCTGTTTCGAGAAATGGTCGAAACGGTAGCCCCGCCCTCAAGAAGTGTGGCGTTTGTGGAGGAAAACAGATGTGGTCACAGACAACTACATTTCAGAACCTTTGTGTGAGATAGAAAGGTCAGTGAGGTGGAATGAGAACATAATAGAGGGAGAGTTTAATGCCGCTTGGAGTTGTCTTTCTATTCGCGATTTTGAATTCATTCTGTTTTATCCACATCTGCTCAGCCCTTCCCTTTTGTATCCAATCACTAGGTATTATTGCCTAATTTACTATTATTTATAACATTTATAGATTGGAGAGGGAAGGAAAAGTGTAAATCAGATTATCATATGGTAGGATTGTTTTGCACCCCCTATTTTCCTGATATATGGGTTTTTTTTCTCACATACAATTTTCTATTATAGTAGTTAAATACCAAGGACTTCCCCCAAATTGGTCCTCCTTAGGACAAGACAGCATCTGAGTGCTGTACTGATTTTGCTGTAAGGTCGTTGCTTGGTGTACTTCCAGGTTCAGCCTTGCCTTGTCTTGAAATCCTCTGATTTTTCTTTGGATCTGTCTCTCTCATCTCATGTCAAAAATCAAACTATTTGCTGCTGTAATAAAGATATTCTTGTGTTGTGGGCTCAGTGGATCACACCCCCTGTCGAGCCACCCCTGAATGGAACTTGAGTGCCCTTGGTTGCTTTGGAGTAGTACTCTCAGGTGGATCAGTTCAGTCTTGTCACTCTTGGATCAAAATTATTGTGGCTCCCAGCTCACTTAGTTAATTAATTGACCTTTGAGGGTGTACTGTGAGCTCTGATTGGTGTGAGATACTGGGGGTATACACATGTGTGATGTACTCAAGGGTTTTCTGGTTTGCTTGAGGATGACAGACTGATTCAAACTGACAAGTGACAATCAGAACAAGACATGATGGCATCTGGCACCTGAGTGCTCTACTGTTTAGTATTGTAAGTGCCCTAGCAGTTTAGAGGTGAGGGAGGTCAGTGAGGCTTAGAACAGGCAAGGGTGGCTTTGTGAAGCAGGTGGGACACAAACCGGCTCTCGATAAGCAGCGTTTGGTGAGACAGGGACTAGAACAGTCCTGGTGCACAGAAATCACCCACTAAATATCTGTTGAATTGGATAAGCAGGAGGGCGTTAGCTTAATTGACTATAAAATTGCAGGTATGGAAAACTGGATGTATTCAGTTAGGTTGGTAAATTTGTTTAAATTTTAAAATTATTTAAATAAAATAGAGTTATTTTGGCCAGCCTTATACTTAAGTCTTATACCTTGATAAAGTTTATTTATCCTATGGTTAAGCTTCTCCAGGAGACAGGATTATGTGGGAAAGTCCTTCATTTCTTGTTTAGGTACCAGGAGAGGTTCAGAGTTCTATATCCCCTGTATGTTTTTTTTTTCAGCCTCTCCTGGGTCTCCTTTTTTCACTTTGTGAAAAAAGTATAGATAACTGGAAGGGGTTCTGTTTTTGTATGTTTGCACAGAGAAACTTGATTAAGGGGATTAAGATTAGTGAGGAAGGTATAAAATTGTATGGGGGAGGGGCCCGCCCCGTGGTGCAGTGGTTAAGTTTGCACGTTCTGCTAGAGGAAGATGGGCACGGATGTTAGCTCAGGGCCAGGCTTCCTCAGCAAAAAGAGGAGGACTGGCAGTAGTTAGCTCAGGGCTAATCTTCCTCAAAAAAAAAAAAAAAGAAAAAGAAAAAATTGTATGGGGGAGCTTACTTTGGAAATTTTTTTTAATGCTGTTTCTACTTTTTTAAATTATTAAAAAGTAGGCACAAATAGTGCCTACTATTTGTCCTGATGTTTGAATAGGATAGAAGTATATACTACCACCCTTGGTGTCAGCGTTCCTAAATTACAGGTTTTGAAAAGATTACTTTAAAGTGGGCTTATGTAATATCAAAGACACCAGGAGACAGCAAATGTACACCAAAAAATTTAAGAACTTTTTTTTTTGAGGAAGATTAGTCCTGAGCTAACATCTCTCACCAATCTTCCTCTTTTTTTTTTTTCGGCTGAGGAATACTGGCCCTGAGCCAACATCCGTGTCCATATTCTTCTATTTTATACGTGGGACACCTGCCCCAGCATGGCTTGACAAGCAGTATGTAGGTCTGCACCCGGGATCTGGCCTGTGAAACACAAGGTGGAAACTTAACCGCTATGCCACCGGGCTGGCCTTAACATTTTTACACTGGTGAAACAACAATCTGTTAAGAAGTTTGGCGTTTGGGGACAATCCATGCCATTTAGACCTTAGCTCTCAGAAGCACTCTTGGGTTTTGAGGGTGGGCATCCTTGGTCTTTTCTAGCCCCTTCCTGTTCTCTGTTAACCTTTGTAACTACAGAGAACTTGAACCTGTTTCATCACCTCTCTGCTTCTTTCAGATTCTTTACAAGAAGTACTTGCTAGACTTCAAGATTTCAGAAGAGAGGTGAAAGAGTAAATTGCAACTTTGAGTCAAGCCTGTAGTGAGGGGGACTGACAGACTGATTAAACCACAGGTAAGGCTGTGTCCACGGTAAATTACATTAAAAAGGAATGAGGAGAACATTAATATTAATATATCAGCTTCAAAAGTTTTTAAATAACTTTAACATCTTTATAAAGTAGCACATATTTTGGAAGAAAATTTATTTTATATGGAAAAGCAAAAGAATAATATTACCCACTATCCCACCTCTCAGATAAACTATGGCTAGTATTCTGATAGATTTCTTTCCAATTTTTGTCTGTGCGTATATTTGATTTAAAAAATCATATACTAAAAACCATTTTTTTCCACTTAATAATTAGATTATGAACATTTTTTCACATCATTAAATTTTTTTACAACATAATTTTAATGGCCTTATGGTAGTCTATCATATGGTTGTAGTGTAGTATTTTGCCACTGGTAAAGAAGAATGTGCATATATATATATATATATATATATATATATATTTTTTTTTTTTTTTTTTGGAAGATTAGCCATGAGCTAACTGCTGCGGATCCTCCTCTTTTTGCTGAGGAAGACTGGCCCTGAGCTAACATCCGTGCCCATCTTCCTCCACTTTATATGTGGGGCGCCTACCACAGCATGGCTTGCCAAGTGGTGCCATGTCCGCATCCGGGATCCGAACCAGCGAACCCTGGGCCGCCAAAGCGGAACGTGCGCACTTAACCACTGCGCCATCGGGCCGGCCCCAAGAATGTGTATTTTTAAGACTTTTGATACATAATGCCAAACTGCTCCAAGAGAAAATTATGCTGATTTACATAATAGTGTATATTCACAAAGGCACAAATATATATATTTAAAATATGTAATATGTTTACATGGTGCAGAAATCAAAATAATATAGGGGCCAGCCCCGTGGCTGAGTGGTTAAGTTCTTGCGCTCTGCTTCGGCAGCCTAGGGTTTTGCCAGTTCTAATCCTGGGTGCAGACGTGCCACCACTCATCAAGCCATGCTGAGGTGGCATCCCACATGCCACAACTAGAAGGACCCACAAGTAAAACTATACAACTATGTACCCAGGGGCTTTGGGAGAAAAAGGAAAAATAAAAAACAATCTTTAAAAAGAAAAATAAAATAATATTAAAAGATTTATAGTTAAAAAAATCTTCCAACCCTGTCACTGTCTACCTCACTCCCTACTGCCCCATAGATAATCACTTTTTTAGGTTCTTGGGTTTGTGTTTGTGTGTCTGTTTCCCAAACTAGATACCTTTTGAAGGACATAAATTTCTACAAGATGGAGTGATTGAGATTTGAGTAGGATTGTAACCTCTTGCAGCCCCACCGTCAACCCTTACAAACTCTTTCGGCTTCTTACTAATAGAACATCAGAACATTTTGATATAAAACAAAGATTTCCTTTTAGTAGTCTACAAAGATCGTTGTCATTATTTGACCTGGAGGTGAACAGCATCATTGATTTCTATCCAGGTCCTATTGGTGGCATAAGAGTGGATTGTTGTTTATAGAGTTCTATGGATAAATTAAATACAGCAGAACTGAGTTTGTAATCTTTACGAAAGAGTGCTATGAAACTCACTAGTTTGGGAGAGAAATGATAGAAAAATATATTTGCTTGAGGTTTCTGGACAGTGATGAATTAGAACAAGTGTTCATGTGTCCTGTGCTGACTTCTGAGTGTTTGGACAGTGAGGGATTGTCATTGGATTTTAAATTGACCCAATTTTGGAAGCTTCATAGATCTGTTTCTGTAAACAGATCCAATTTCAACATAGAAGTTAGTAAACAAATGTGGAAACACAAAGTCCATTAACTTCCTTCAGACTTAGTTTGTGACTTTGATTAACAGTTAAAATTGCACGCTGGATTATCTTGCCATTTACTAACTCCTGCTAATCCCTCATGTACAAAAAAAAAAAAGTAGGTGTTTTCTCCCTGAGTAAGATGAAAATAACTCTATTTAACTTGTGGTTTTGTAACAGGATCTCTATCCCTTGTAAAAGTAGGAGAGGGTATCCCTGGGGAAATGGCACTGCTAGGATGGGACCATCTTAACTGACTACGGTTCTAATTAATAAAGTCTTCACTTACTCTGGTTATTCTCTCACATTACTAAGTGCTTAATTCCTGATTTTTCCTCTAATAGAAATAGGCAAGTCACAGCTCATGAGCTGGAGAGTGAGCTGCTCGAGAGCATCTACCACACTAATGTCTTTGTTTTGCTTAGGAGCTGCTAGTCCACTGTTTGGACCCTGCTTAGAATGCACCCTTTTGCAGCTTCCCCCCCCCCCCCCCCCCCCTGCACCTTTTGATTTATAGAGCTTGTCACGGCTAGTTATTTTTGGTTTGAGAGTGAAGAGAGACGTGGCAATGGAGGTTAATTTCAGATGAATGTGGAAACAGGTTCCATTGCTGCTTCTGCAATCTTCCGCAGTTGTGTACTCTTCCTCCATTCATTTCCCCTTTCCATTGATCTCTTCCCCTAGGAAAAGTCAACATTCATTCTTAGCCTGTGCAACTCTGCAGGTCTGTCTGTATCTTTAAGGTGTCACTTCCCCCAGGAAGCCTTCCCTGACCCTCCTTCACCCTGCTCCCCTTCTCTGCACTTCCATGGTGCCCTTTGCTTATCCCCCTTCCAGCAAGGATCACCCTCTATCATAATTGTCTGTATTCTCATTCAGTTGTGAGTCTCTTAAGGGAAGGAACTTATATATATCCTTTCAGTCTTTGTTTTTTGGAAACAAAAATGAGCTATATGATATGATGGATGGCACTTAATAGGCAGTTTTAAAAGGAACCTAACTACTTCGTAATGTATGAGAGAGGCTTTTTCCTCAGGTCTGTTGTAGGATTATTGGTCAGAAAGAGCTATTTCTTCACTCAGAATGTTTCTAGTTTTTTTAGGAGTCTGAAGCTATAGTGGATTGAGATAATTTTGAAATGTGAAGCTGATTCTCTTGCTTGGCAGCTTGATCTGTGGAGGGGAATGTGTTTGACGCATGTGCTTTTTTTTTTTTTTTTTTTTTTTTAGAGAGACCTGTTGACAGAAATTCAATCTTGATTAAGGGGTGCAGGAAGGCATCCAGTTCCCGCCATGCTGGGGCTCTCTCATTAAACAGTTGGGCTTGGCCCTGACCTGTTCCATTTCCCACTAGGCCTTGTGCTTTTTATTTTTTGAAGGTTTCACATCCAGATATTTATTATTTGTGGGAGAGGCAGGATGGTGAAACTGGCATAACCCAGTAGTTACTTTTGGTTTTGTTCATGTATTTGTGCTGTCACCGTTTAGTGAGGAGAGTCAGACTTCTTCGTGGATATGTATTTAGTTACTTATTTGTTTCCTTTTGGGGGGGTAGGGGTGATGGGTATTGTCTCCTGAATTGGCCATATTAGGCCAAAAGAGAGCTCAAAAGAAGCTTTGTTAAAAAAATAGTATTTTGGTTTTAAAATTTCACCTAAATAAAGATTAGGTGTATTTAGGTTTGAGCCATTACCGTTTAACCTCTACCAATCAGATGCAGTTCTAGACCTCAGAGGACATCCCTCCTTTGGTCCTTGAGTGACCTCTTCACAGTCTCTTCTACTCTAGAATATCCACTGAGAGGTTCACACTAAGCTGCATCTTATATGTAGCAAAAGCTTTATATGCAAGAGTACAAACTTAAAAAAAGGGAAATTAAGGTGTGATGTTTTACTTTATGGGAAGATTGAGCTCAGCTTTCTCGGTATATTTAGAAGAGAGTTTTTAATTTTCCGAAGTGTTCTTTATGAACAACCTGTCAGAGAGCCTTAGTTTTTGTATAGAGCAGAGTTTACTTTTGCATTTGTCTAATAGGTTAGTATGATTTGGTTATCTATGTCATTTTTTTTTTTAAAGATTTTGTTTTTTTCCTTTTTCTCCCCAAAGCCCCCCAGTACATAGTTGTATATTCTTTCATTGTGGGTCCTTCTAGTTGTGGCATGTGGGACGCTGCCTCAGCGTGGTTTGATAAGCAGTACCATGTCCGCGCCCAGGATTTGAACCAATGAAACACTGGGTCGCCTGCAGCGGAGCGCGCGAGCTTAACCACTCGGCCACGGGGCCAGCCCCTATCTATGTCATTTTTCACGGAATATTTATGGAAAAACTATATTATAGTGACTCCAGATTTTAAAGTCCTATAGATCTGGTCTTAAAACTCATCTCTGCTACCCATCTTGATGATCTCAGAGTAGTTCAGCTTTTTGGAGCCTGCTTCCTTATTTGTAAAACGGTAATGATGATATCTATCTTCTATATTGTTAATGCAGTTTAAGTGAGATGATTTATGTGAAGTGTCTGGTAAGGTGCTTGGACAGTAGTAGACAGTCGGTGTTTGGAAGTTGTTATTATCCATAAATGGGTTTTATCTCTTACTCCTTGACGTTTGATCTTGATCTATATACATATCTATTTTTAACTAAATATGAGAGGCAGTGGATAGTGCACTGGATGAGAACACACCCTTTAGGGCCTCTCTTAAGTTCAAGTCCTGGCTTGACTACTTCTTAGCTGCGTGACCATGAACAACTAGTAAATCTCTCTGTGCCTCAGTTTCCTCATCTGTAAAGTGAAGATAATAACAGTACCTACTTCATAGGATTATTGTGAGGATTTGGTGAGTTAATACTTGTAAAACACTGCCAACAGTGTCTGGCATGTCATAAGTATTCAGTAATTAATAGCTATTATTTTTAACTTCTTTTTTAAGTTTAAATACCTTTTTATTAAGTCAATACCCAGGAACATTTTGTTCTTAGACAAAAACATTAAAAAAGAAAGAGGATGTGTAGCATTTGATAAGTGAAGTTAGCAGCCAGTTGACAGACATGTAAATGGAAGCATTATTTCCAAAAATCAAGAGGTTTAATAATTATTGCTGGATTATCAAGAATATTTAATAAAAATTCCAGAAAGCCCAGTAACTTCTGCACTGTAAACATAGATTTAGGGGGAAATAAATACTGCTTAACTAGTTCTTTAAACTGAAAAGATATGCATTTATATAATAAAACATATTCAAAGAATGTAAAAGTTCATATAGCGAAAAGTCTTCCCCTGACCCAGAATTCCCAGCTCTCTTCCCAGACCCAAATACTGTTAATACTTTTGTGTCTCCTTCCACAGTAGTCTATGTATGGACAAAGGGAGATATGAGTATATATTACCCCTTTCTCTCTTTTTAACATGAATGAAAGCATGCACTTCCGCATTTTGCTTTTCTCACTTAATAGCTCTTGGAGCTCATTCTGTACATATCACATATGCAAAGTTACAGTATATTAAAGTTATGTAATATTTTATTATATGGTTGTGCCATAGTTATTCAACCAATCTCCTATTGGTGGAATTTGGGTTTTCAGTGTTTTGGCTCATAAACAATGCTATGGTGAACTTTCTTATACTTAACATATGCATAAATACATATTTGTAAGATAAACTTCTACATTTGACAAGATCTATCAAAAAGAAAAATGTAAATTGCCCTTCAAAGAGGCTAGCAGTGTAGCTCCATAACTGAAAAAAGAAAAAAGAGTGTGAGGGGGTTAAATTTGAATACTTTCCAGGTGGTTTTCAGCAGCGTGCTTTGGTGGGATCATGGATTTTAGGAGGCTAAGTGGGGTTGCTGCGTATTACATTCTTGCCTCTTCCCTCCCCCAGCTTTAGTTGTCTTCATTACATTCCTGCCTGGGAAGTGTTCCCAGTGACCTGGGTTAGGCATTAAGATCATGGGAATCCAAAATTTTCCCATGTCTTCCAGCATGTTTGTTCACAAGAACAGGAAAACTTCCTCCTTGTAGCAGGGGAATTTTAACCACTGTCAGTCGCTGGGGAATCTTTCTGTGAGGGTCCTTTGAATACAAATGTTGTCAAGGAGAAGAAAGGTATCAGTAGGTCAAAAGGCAGTGATAACATCTTACGGTAGTGTATTTCATGGCACTTGAAATCCCTTGTCATTTGTTTGTGGGAAGTAGGTAGCCAAAAAGGTAGAGTAACTTGCCTGTTGTCATATACATCTAGTAAATGCCAGAGACTGGGCTAGAATTCTGGGCTTCTATATTAGTTGGGATTGTTTTTGGCTATAAGTGACAGAAAATGTGACTATAAGGGCTTATACAAAAAAAGTATTACTGTCTGGAAGTAGAGGTTGCTGATATTTGATCATCAATGATCAGTAGCTCATTGATGTCAGGACCAATGTCTCTTATTCTCTTGGCTATCCACCCGTGTGTACAATGGCTGCTCTAGCTCTAGCCATTACATCTGCCTTCAAGGCAAGAAGAAAGGTGAAGGGAAAGGGCAGGAACAAGGGCGATAGCTGTATCAGGAAACTAAGCGTTCTCCTTTGAATCCATCAGCAGATTCCAACTTCATTGTCATTGGCCAGAACTGTCCGTGGCTACTCCAAAGCTTGCAAGGTGGCTATCTAGGAGGTGACTTTCGTTATAGCGTGCTTCCTACTGTTTTGATGATGTTCAATGAAAAATATTTAATCTTGGCTTGACTTAAGCTGTGTTAATCTCTAATTCTCTTTCTACTTATAGTTCATACTATGTAATTTAAATATTGTATACTATTTTATCTTATTTATTGAGTGTGATAGGATTTTAGCTCCTGTCTAGATTTCAAATTCCTTTGTGTTGAGACTAGATCTACTTTTTGTGTGAGACATAGAGTCTCATCCTTGAACATCAGTGAGAAAGGAGCTCCGATCTCAAGCCCACATCTTATGGCCACTAGCAAGTGTATAATATGAGTAGACTGCTAGTAATAGGTTACTGAGTTAAGTTGCATAATGAAAGTAGAAATGGGGGAGAATGAAAAATTTAGAATGAGCATAGTGAAGAATCCTCTGTTCAGGGCAACAGATAATGGAGAATGGATCTACTTGGAAATACATACAGTACTATTTTCTGTGCGAATAGAGGCCTTAACTACATTAACATGCTTCTCTACTTCACAGAGTGAGAGAGCAAAATGATGTGGAAAGAACATTGTACGGAAGTCAGGAGCCTCAGTTCTAAATCTAGTTCTGCCTTTATGTAACTGTGTGATATTGGGCAAGTCATTTAATCTCTCTTACCTTCAGCTTCCTCTTCTATGATGGGGATAATAATCGCTGCTTTATAGGATTGTTGAGAGCATTAGAAATAGTATGTATTTAGTACTTTATGGTGCCTGGCATGCATAAGCGTCTTTGGTAACTGTTTTTACTATGATCATTAGTAATATTGTTGTGTGATCTTGGAGGACCCTTTTTGCTTTAATTAATCCTTATCTATAAACTGCAAAAATTAGGTATTATCTGAGATTCCTCCCAATTCCAAAATGTCGTGTTTCTACAAGTACCTCAGCTGGGATTGTAATAAAGGTATCTGTGGAGTGCTGGCTGCACTGAGTCCATAGGAGAGACCACGGCAAGGTGAAGTTCTCTGATGTATAGATTGATGTCACTATGTAAACCAAATATTTGTCAGAACTAATGTTTCTGAGGCACTGAAGTGCCTTCTGAATTACTCCAGTCCACTGAGAGAAGCTAATGAAATGTTGGCCAAACCACTGAGCAGCAATGAGGTTGGGTGTAACTAATCTTATGATTTATCTCAGAGTATAGGTATAGTGGTACAGTACAGAGAAAATGAGCACTGAGGACTGTTAGTGCCCAGAATTGGTGATGGTTTAGGGAACTGGCACACCTCCCTGGTAATTTAAGTGGATATTACTCTTCTTCTGAGGACCCTTTTCACAGTATGTATCAAGAGCTAGCAATTCCATCTTTAAGAATTTAACTTAAGGGAAGAATTATAGATGTGTACGGAAATTGAGCTACAAGGATATTCTCCCAGTAGTATCTTTAAAGTAAAAATATTGGGGGGCTGGCCCCGTGGCTGAGTGGTTAAGTTCCCGTGCTCAGCTGCAGGTGGCCCAGTGTTTTGTTGGTTCGAATCCTGGGTGCGGACATGGCACTGCTCGTCAAGCCACACTAAGGCAGCGTCCCACATGCCACAACTAGAAGGACCCACAACGAAGAATATACAACTATGCACTGGGGGGCTTTGGGGAGAAAAAGGAAAAATAAAATCTTTAAAAAATATATATATATATTGGGAAAAGCCTAAAAATAGGAGATAAGTAAATTATGATACAGCCATCAATTGATGATTTGTCTATATTTATCTACATGGGAAATGCTCACAATATGTGAAGCTGATTCAAAATGTCAATGATCCCATTTAGAAAAAAAAGTTTGTGTGTGTGTATATATACAGAGAGAGAGAGTCTGGAATAGTGTGGCATTGTGGATTACTATTGTTTTTATAAAATTTTTTGTCATCTAATTTTTTTAATGAGCATGTATTTTTATAGTAAAATAAGGGCTTAGAGAAAGGTACTTAATTGAATAAACATGTATGCAAGTGATTACTGGTATCTGCTTCTCTTCCAAGATACAGAATACTTTAAGTACATGTCGTTCCCTGGATGAAGACAAATGGCTCATTGGGTTTCACAGGGAAATTATTTGCCAGTGAGTGTGGCCTCTGGGCTATTTTTCCAGACTACTTCCAGCTATTTTTTTTAACCATACAGGGCTAGAGTGGAGGCTAACTTTAAACCTACACAGGTTTCCACAGGAGAGAGGGGAACTTTGTACCTAGGAGTAGGGATGGACCCATATCTTTGACTTATTTCTTTTACCTAATCATGTTGTGCCTTTTATGTATTTTTTAAAGTCTTTTTCTTCATGCCCAAGAGTAGTATTTTTATGAAAATATTTCTAATGAAAGAAAACCTATCCTTGGCAAAACTGTATTGAGCTCTTAGTATGTGTGAGATATTGTTCTGAGCACCTTGATGGATGAGGTATACACAAGTGAGTAAAATCCATCCTTGTCTTCAGGAACTTACGGACTACTGGGAGAGACATTTACATAGGTAACTAATATAAAATTGGATGGTAAACAAAGCACTATGGCTTTGGAGAGGCAACAATTGTGCGTGATAGGTGGAAATTGGAAAGAGTTTATAGAGAATTGAATTGGATTTTGAATGATGAGTAAGATTTTGGTTGGTAGGTATAAAATTTAATGGTGTGCTTGATAAATTGGATAATTCAGGGCAGAGAGAGAGTAAATTGGATGCAGGGGAGGCTAGAGATGAGAAAATGGTAGATTGAGGGAAAATAACAAATGGAAAACACCTAGCACAGTTGTTGCAGGTACTCATCAAACCTTGCCTCTTTCTAATTCTCGCATATTTACCTCAAGGGGTCTTTAAGTTACCAAAAAAGAAAAGCTGATTTTTGTTTGATTTGAAAAGTAAGGCATATTGTCCACTTGATTTTCAGAATTACGAATGTGATAGTCAAAGCAAAGAAATTGCTAGAGAATCAGTATGTTAATGTGCAGCCAAGTTTCTGAACTGTTTCTTTCCTTAGAAGGTGACCTGTCGAGAAGAGTGACACGGATACTGGGAAAAACCTGCTCTTCTGTGCCGAGGGGGGGCACAATGTCACAAGTTAAAACCTCTTATTCCTATGATGCTCCCATGGACTTCATCAATTTTACATCTTTGGATGATGAGGAAGATACCCAAAACATAGATTCTTGGTTTGGTAAGTATCTGCTTTCTCGGGCCATTTTAAGGGTTAGTGTCTTGCTTTGTTCTGAGGACCTTTAAAAAATAGAAGAGATTGTAAGAGAATAACTGAAATATAAATTCCTTTCTGCACGAAGATACGTTGTCATCTTTGATATGATAGAAATAATTGAAATGCCCAGTATTTGGGGAATGGACTATCAGTACAAATCAATGTTGTTTTGGAGTTAAGAATGACAAATATTTAAGGTTTAGGGTCATATGGGAAAATCCAGATGACACTCCATTGAGTGAAACTCTAGGACTGTCTGTAGTGATGGTAGTCACATAAAAACTTGCTCTATTGTCGTTAGGCATAGAGTGTAATATTACACCTAGGATATTGACAATGATACAATTCACCAATCTTAGATCTCTCTAGTTTCATGTGTACTCGTTTTTGTTTATGTGTATTAATGAAATGAATTGAATGAATTTTATCACCTGTGTAGGTTTGTATATCCACCACCACAGTCAAGATATTGAACAGTTCTAGCATCACAAGGATCCTAATGTTGCCCTTTTGTAACTACACGCACCTCCCTCTTGCTACCCCTCCCCAATACGTTTTTAAATGGAGGGATTATGCTACTCAGAACCCAATCCCCAGACAGAGGTAGGATTGCCTGATGGTTTATGTAATATGGCATAAACCCTGACACCAGGCCAACAATAAATAAGCATATGCCTATGTTGTCATATTACTTTGGAATAATATGTCAGACCAATGATGTATCAGGCAAATAGCTGCTGGAGCCCCTTCATTTTATTCTTTCTTATGTCCTCGTCCTCCTTATCATTATTATTATTATTTTTTTAAGGATTGGCACCTGAGGGGCCAGCCCCGTGGCCGAGTGGTTAAGTTCGTGTGCTCTGCTGCAGCAGCCCAGGGTTTTACCAGTTTGGATCTTGGGCACAGACATGGCACCGCTCATCAAGCCACGCTGAGGCGGCATCCCACATGCCCCAACTAGAAGGATCCACAACTAAAAATATACAACTATGTACCGGGGGGGGCTTTGGGGAGAAAAAGGAAAAATAAAATCTTAAAAAAAATTGGCACCTGAGCTAACATCTGTTGCCAATCTTTTTTTTCCTTTCTTCTCCCTGAGCCCCCCAGTACATAGTTATAGGTCCTTCTAAGTTGTGTTATGTGGGACGCCGCCTTAGCATGGCCTGATGACTGGTGCCATGTACACGCCCAGGATCCAAACTGGTGAGACCCTGGGCCACCAAAGCAGAGTGTGCAAACTTAACCACTTGGCCGAGGGGCCGGCCCCTTATCCTCGTATTAAGAGAAATCAGTATGTGATAGGGGACAAAAATGAGTCCATTGCAACTGCTTTTCACTTATGATGCAGTGTCAATGTGATGTGATGTGACGGCATATGCCATTCTCTTGGAAAAGGACTTTAATGTTATCCAGTGGGGATTCTGAGAGGAGGGGTCTGTTGGCAGTGGTGTAGGAGGAAGTGTGGATGAGAGGACTAGCTGCCGTATAGTGGTCTTCCCCATGCCCTTGCTTCACTGAAACCCTGAGGAAAAGGCTGGATTGTCTGCCTACCTCTTTTTCTAAGTTTTTTAAAACTAAAAGAGGAAATGCAGCAGTCCCCCCTTATCCCTGGGGAATACGTTCCTTGTTGATGGTTTAGATGATGCTCTTACCTTTTCACTTATATATAAACAACAATAACTTCTCTTTGGCCTATCCAAATTGCCAGCATCACTTCTCTTGTGCTTTGGGGCCATTATTAGATAAAAAGGGTTACTTGATGCAAGCACTGTGATACCACGATAGTCGATTTAATAACCAAGGTGGCAAATACAGAGTGGATACAAAGGGATGATTCATGTCCTGGGCAGGACAAAGCAGAACTGTGCAAGATTCATCATGCTATTCAGAACAGCATGCAATTTAAAACTTATGAACTGTTTATTTCTGGAATTTTCCATTTTATTATTTTTGAACTGCGGTTGACTGCAGGTAACTGAAACTGTGGCATGTGAAACCATGGATAAGGGGGGACTATTGTATTAGTATAACAGTACTATTAAATACAATTTGGAAGAAAAAAAATTAAGTCCCACTGTTTTTTCAAAACCACCTTAGTTCTAATATATTACTTTCTAATTTTCTTCCAAATAATCACCTTTTTTTTTCTTTTGAGGAAGATTAGCCCTGAGCTAACTGCTGCTGCCAATCCTTCTCTTTTTGCTGAGGAAGACTAGCCCTGAGCTAACATCCGTGCCCATCTTCCTCCACTTTATATGTGGAATGCCTACCACAGCATGGCTTGCCAAGCAGTGCCATGTCTGCACCCAGGATCCGAACTGGCGAACCCCAGGCCACTGAAGTGGAACGTGTGCACTTAACCGCTGTGCCACTGGGCCAGCCCCTAATCACATCTTTTTACACAGTTGCAATCAGTGTATATGCACAGTGTTATTCCTGGGGCTCACTGCATTCTTGAAGCTTCTATCAGTAGGCTGTTGGTAGAAGAGACATTTCTCTGCTTTGTGCTGACTTTCAGGCACAGCTGACTTTAACCTAAGGTAAAAATCCTTGAGAGAGCCTGGTTCTATTCTGTCCTCACACATCCTCCACTCCCCTCTTACCACCCCAGCTGAGAAAGAACCTCACCTCAAATAGACTATAAGGTGTCCCTTGTAAGTCCTGTAGATCTTGGTGGCTACAGTTTGATTTGAGAGGAACATGATGTATTAGGTGGTGGATAAGGCCAGCTCGCACTTGTATGCTCCTGAACGTGTATCAGGCAAAGATAAGGAGCTGTTTACAAAGCAGAGTCTGCACTCCTCCTCTTCTAGAATACATTATTCAGTGTTGCCAATGTTTTAGTGAGAGTTTTTACAGTCTCTATCTCTGATGTATAATGTGTACTCATTTCCTTTGCCAAATGAGTTAGAAGTGCACCGGTAGGGGCTTTAAGGCCACGTTTTAAGCGCGCGGCCCTGATTTATTTTGCTTCCTTGCTGATTGTTAGATGACAATGCTCTTACCTTTTCACAGAGGAGAAGGCCAATTTGGAGAATAAATTTCCTGGGAAGAACGGGACAAGAGGGCTTTTTCAGGGCAAAACTCCGCTGAGGAAGGCTAATCCTCAGCAAGCTATTGTCACACCTTTGAGACCAGGTAAGAAAGAACATCTTTAAAAAAAGCTCCTTGGCAGAATGATGGAACTAGGAGCCTGCCTGAGGGATCTGAGGAATTACCTGAATGCTGTATCCTTTGGTTTATTATTGGTGAAATGGGCTAATCTATTTCATGGTGAAGGTGCAACTAATGATGTGCTACACTTTTTTTTTGTTAAATTTCTTGAAACTTAAGCTAACATAGAATTTCATTGCCAGAAACATAGCTGTTTTCTTTTCATGACAAGATTTAATGTAACCTAACCTGGGTCTGGCTGGGAAACAAAAGAGCAGGAGAGAAGAATGTACTGCTTGCCATTGTACAAGAATTCTTTGAGTCATGTATCTGATTTTAAAAGATGATGACATTTAAACTGGTGGTTACTAAATCTGCAGGATATTGTCTATTTGGTCAGAACAAAAGAAGCATTGTTTAAGAGGTCATAAATCCTTGAAAATGGTTTTTTCTCGAAATAACAGCTATATTTATATATAATTCATGTATACAATTCACCTAAAGTGTACCTTTCATGTTTTTTTTATAGTGTATTCATAGAGTTGTTGTGTAACCACCACTACAATCGATTTAGAGCATTTGAAAATTCCTCTTATGGGTAAATCTGAAATTGACCTCAGTTACACTATTAACTGGAGGAGCCATATCAGGGAAATAGCTGTGTTTTCAGTGGACCTCTCTAGTTTGCAGAGTCTGAGCAGCTGGGCTGACTTTGAAATAATTCATGAGTACAGATGATATCTGTTGGATTCAGGATCTGGACAAAGACCCTGAACTTTTGCATCCATCTTTTTTGTACGAGGGATTAGAGCTGTGTGGCATGTTTTACTTGATGAGCATGGAATGCCTGTGACCTGTGGCCTGAGTACTGTATTCTTGGGTGAATTTCATCAGTTCATTAAGTGTGGCAGATTTTCTGTTGGTTTGATGGTCTTTGTGCTCTTCTTGAATTGAAACGGGGGTTGTAATGTTACGTAGTTTTTCTGGACCACTTTCTTTTTAAGGCTGTTTTGTTAACAGTAGGCCCCAAAGCAAGAGACCTCTGCTAGGCCTATTCTGTGACAAAGACCATGCACACTGCTTATATGCATGCTCCTTAGACTCCTCAGAGTCTTTATGTTCTTAGGGCACATTCCCACCTGTCTATTAGTGCTGTTCAATCTGCCTAGAATACCCTTACTCTAACTGAAAAGTTCCTACTCATCATTCAAGGTCCAGCTCAAATATTCTTTTTTCTCTAATTCCTCTTATTTGTGTTCTTAGAGTGCTCTTCATACCTCTTTTTTTTTTTCTGAGGAAGATGCATCCTGAGCTAACATCTGTTGCTGATCTGCCTCTTGCTTTTTTATGTGAGCTGCCACCACAGCATGGCCAGTGACAGATGAATAGTGTGATTCCATGCCTGGGAACTGAACCCAGCCCACAGAAGTGGAGCATGCTGAACTTAAACCACTAGGCCATAGGGGCTGGCCCTCATACCTCTATTTTAATTTCATTTTCCTACTATGTTGCTAATACAAAGAAATAAAATTAATTTTTATATATTGATCTTTTATCCTGCAACCTTCTTTTCTTCTTCTTCTTTTTTTTCCCTTTGGTGAGGAAGATTGGCCCTGAGCTAGCATCTTATTGTCAATCTTCCTCTTTTTGCTTGAGGAAAATTGTTGCTGACCTAACATCTGTGCCAATCTTCATCTATTTTGTATGTGGGATGCCACCAGAGCATGGCTTGACGAGTGGTGTGTAGGTCTGCGCCTGGGATCTGAACCCACAAACCCCAGGCCGCTGAAGCGGAGGACACAAAGTTAACCCCTATGCCACCAGGCCGGCCCCTATCCTCCAACCTTCTAAACTCATTTATTAGCTTTAGTAGCTTTTTTGTAGATTCCATCAGATTTCTACATAGATGATCCCGTCATCTGTGAATATGCCTTTTATTTCTTTTTCTTGCTTATTGCACTGACTAGAACGTTTAGTAGGATGTTGGATGGGAGTAGAGAGAGTAGACGTGCTTGTTTTATTCCTGATCTTAGGGCAAAAGCATTCAGGCTTCCACCATTAAGTATGGTGTTAACTGTAGTTTTCTCATAGATACCCTTTATCAGGCTGAGAAAGTTCCCTTCTATTCCTGTTTTGCTGATAATTTTTATCAGTAATAGATGCTAGATTTTGTCAAATGCGTTTTCTGCATATATTGAGATGATTTATATGATTCTTTTTCCAGTCTATTAATATGTTGAGTTACACTGATTTTCCAATGTTAAGCCAACCTTGTATTTCTGGGATGAACTCCAATTGGTCATGATGGTGTTTTTCTTTTTATGTATTTTTAGGTTCAGTTTGCTACATTTTTGTTAAGAATTTCTGCCTCTGTTATTCATGAGGGATATCATTCTGTATTTTTCCATTCTTGTGATGCTTTTGTTTGATTTTGATAGAGTAATGCTGGCCTTACTCTATAAATATTCCCTTTTCTTCATTTTTCTGGAAGAGTTTGTGTAGAATTGATATTATATCTTTCTTAAATCCTTGGTAGAATTCACCAGTGGAGACATCTGGGTCTGGAGTTTTCTTTGTAGGAAGGTTTTTGACTACAAATTCACTTTCTTTAACAGATATAGATGATCTGTTTCTTCTGGAGGGAGCTTTTGCTAGCTTTGGTAATTTGTCCATTTCATCTAACTTGTTGAATTTATAGGCAAAACGTGATTTATAATGTTTCCTTATTATCCTTTTAATATTTATAGATTCTGTAGTGGTGTCACTTCTCTCATTCATGATGTTGGTAATTTGTGTTGACTCTTTATTTTCCTAATCAGTCTGGCTAGAGATTTATCAATGTTTATTAATCTCACAGAACTAGCTTTTGGTTTCATTGATTTTTTTTTTTTCCTGTTTTTCTGTTTCCTGTTTCATTGGTTTCCATTCTGATCTTTGTTATTCCCCTTCTACTTAATTTGCGTCTAATATGCTTTTTTTTTTTTCAGTTTCTCACCGTGGCAACTGAAGTCATTGATTTGAGATCTTTCTTTTTTAATGTGTTTACTGCTATAAATTCCTCCCTAAGTACTGCTTTAGTGGTATCCCACAAATTTGATGTGCTGTGTTTTCATTTTCTTTCTACTCGAAATACTTTTAATTTCCCTTTTGAGATCTTTGATCTCCAGGACTTATTTATCTATTAGTTGCAAGTTACCTATTGTGTTACTTAGAAATGTATTTAATTTCCAAATATTTGGGCAGGGGGTTCCAGAAATCTTTTCTGTTATTGATTTCTTGAGGGATTTAATTCCACTGTGGTCAAAGAACATACCTGTGTGACTTGAATCCTTTTCAATGTATTGAGACTTGTTTTATGGCCCAGAATATGGTCTGATTGGTAAATATTTTGTGTACACTTCAAAAGAATATGTATCCTGCTGTCATTGGGTGGAGAGTTACATAAATGTAATTTGGATCAAGTTGGTTGATTGTGTTGCTCAAGTCTTCTATTTCCTTATTGATCTTATATCTAATTGTTCTATCCATTATTGAAAGTGGGGATATTGAAGTCTTCACTGATTATTGTTGAATTATCTATTTCTCCCTTCAGTTTTTTCCGTTGTTCTTTCATGTATCTGGGACTCTGTTGTTAGGTACATATATGTTTATAATTGTTACATCTTGATGAGTTGAGCAGAACATATTTTTGTAAATGAAGTTTTATTGGAATACAGCCACGCATATTCACTTATATATTATTTATGCCTACTATATTACTGATTTTTCTGTCAACTTATTCCCTCTGTTAGAGAGAGAGGTATTGAAATTTCAGACTATAATTATGGATTTGTCTATTTCTCCTTGTAGTTTGTAATACATGAAGTATTTTGAAGCATTTCTCATTAGATACATAAATATTTAGGTTGTTTTGTCATCTTGAGGAATTGACCTCTTTATCATTTTGAAATGATCTTCTTTATCTCTGATGATATTCTTTGTTCTGAAATCTGCTTTGTCTGATATTAATATGGGCACTCCAGCTTTCTTTTGATTAGTGTTAGCATGATGTGTCTTTATATTTTAAGTGTATTTTTTGTAGGCAGGATATAGTTTGTTCTGGTTTTTTTAGTTTAATATAATTATCTTTGCCTTTTAATTGGGATAAGCGCCTCTATTGTAGCCTTGACATAATATACCATCATTTTTTTATTTCTATGTCTTTTTCTCCCCTCCAGAAAAAAAATTTCTTTAGAGAATGAGCCAAATGATTGTTCTCTGGAATAAATAATACATGAAATGTGTTTTCATGGCCTGACTTTTCTTCTCCTTTATCTGGTTGGAGTTTTCATCTTTTATCAACGCTCAGTTTATAAGCTATACCATCAAATGCTATTTCCTCCATGAAGTCTTTACTTGATTGTTCCTTTTTATTATTCTCTTAGCACTTTTTTCTGTTTCTATTTCATGATGGCCATGGTATCATCAGAATACTTTTTGATAAAATATCTCCTTCCCCTTCCCACCCCTATTACCAGTCCCCTTTCTCAAAGGCTACATCTTTTAACGCTTGCTGTTTTAAGTTGAACTGGTGGTTACACCCATAATGCCTGATAAAATGATTATATGAGAAATATTTACGTTTTTATGATTATGTAAATATTGTTCAATGCCCGGTCAGTTAGTGTGATGCAACTGCATTCCTTCTCAGTTCTGCTTGGTTCTCCTCAGTTCCATTGTCACAGCCCCTGGGCGACATAAAGATGATCCTGCCAGCGAGGTCAGGTAGATTCTCTTTTCTTTAAACTTTGTCAATTACTTAAATTTTTGTCATACTTAGCTTGCTTCATATTGGACAATGATCCTTGGAAATATAACTGCTGTGTTTTTTTGGAGGGCATTATTTTCCTTCATATCTTTGCTGCCTAGTTTCCTGGATCTTATGTCTTCTTACTTATATTCTTTCATTTGTACTTCATTTTGCAGGAGTACATCCTTAGGGAACTTCCTTAGATTAGGTGCAGGAGAAGAGAACTTGGAGTTCTCACATGTTTGAAAATGGCTCTGTTCTGCCTTCGTATACGATTGAAAGTTTGACTTAATATAGAACTGTAGATTAAAAAATTTTTTTCTTGGCTACTTTGAAGGCATTGTTCTTTCATCTTCTATCATTCTGTGTTGCTGATGAGGAGTTCAGCTTATCCTATTTTCCTTACATCTTAGGTGACTTCTTTTTCTCTATGGAAAATTTCAGAATTTTATCTTTCTTTTTTTGGGGGGGGGGGAAGATTAGTCCTGAGCTAACATCTGAGGCTGATCCTCCTCTTTTTGCTGAGAAAGACTGGCCCTGAGCTCACATCCGTGCCCATCTTCCTCTATTTTATGTGGGGTGCCTGCCACAGCATGGCTTGACAAGCGGTGCATAGGTCCGTACCCAGGATCCGAACCAGCGAACCCCGGGCCGCTGAAGCAGAACATGAGCTCTTAACCACTTGCGCCACTGGGCCAGCCCCAGAATTTCATCTTTTTAAAATGTCGTGAGGAGGGGCCGGCCCGTGGCTGAGTGGTTAAGTTCCCATGCTCCACTTTAGCGGCCCAGGGTTTCACCGGTTCACATCCTGGGCGTGGACATGGCACTGCTCATCAAGCCATGCTGAGGCGGCATCCCACATGCCACAACTAGAAGGACCCACAACTAAAAATATACAACTATGTACCAGAGGCACTTTGGGGAGAAAAAGGAAAAATAAAATCTAAAAAAAATAAATAAATAAAATGTCATGAGGAAATGTTTGGTATTTTTTTTTCTGAGATAGTTTCTTAGGCTGACAAATAGGCAGGGCCCTGGATACTTCATTTCTGCTTCAACCAAAGTAGATTTTATAAATTGGTCTTTTGTGTAAGATTCCACTGGAACTAAAGGTTCCACTGCTTAGGATGGCTATATATACAGACATACACACATAGATAAAATTGTTAACCTAGAATTCTCTATTAAGTCACATATATATAGATGTGTCTCTCATCTCCAACTTATTTCCTTGGGATTTGAGTGCTGACTAGTTTTTGCTGTCCTACAGTTGACAACACTTACTACAAAGAGGCAGAAAAAGAAAATCTGGTGGAACAGTCGATTCCATCAAATGCTTGTTCTTCCCTGGAAGTCGAGGGAGCTACATCAAAAAATATTCCAGCCCAGCCTCAGAGGTAAGATTGTTTTGGGGCTCAAAAGTGGTGGTTATATAAATAATGTTCAAACTGAACAGAGCACCTACTTTGTCTCATCTTTTGTAGACTCTTTATGTCACCTTATTTAATCTTCATAACATGTGTGAGTTGTAGGTTATATGCTTAATTTACAGACAAGGGCTCGGGGGTACTAAGTTGCTTGCCCAAGCCAAGTCTATTTTAGAGCCAGGATTCAAACTGATCAGCTTGGTTCCAAAGCCCTTGCTGTTTGCACCATCAACATGGGTTGTAATTTTACATTTATTCATGTGGATTTTGACAGATTTTTTTCCCCTGTTTATAGGTTGTCGGTAAACTTTATAAGGGCAAGTGTCATATATCCCTAGTGCCTAACAGTGTCCTGCAGGAGCAGAAGCTGAATAAATACTTGATGAATGAACAAATGGAAAGATGTGTGGGTTAAGCTGCAATCTTGGCACTAGCGATCTCAGAACATCTCATGTCTTTGTTGCATTTTGCATCAGTATCCTCTTTTTGATAATAAAAACACAGTGTTTGAGAGCTGTCAATCTTAATATTAGTTGCCTTCACAAGGCACTAATCAAAAGCTTATCTATTCAAATTAGGTTTTTTAAAACTTCTGCCGTCTAATAATTCCCACCACCATCATGTTTAAATTGCAGGACAGTTTATTGCTTTACACTTTAGTGTCACCTAGAATATCCTCAAGGAAGAGGAATGGCAGAGTATTTATTATTGCTCAGAAGTGATGAAGTTATCCTTTGCAAAGGCTCATGCTGCCACAAGGATATCAACTTTTGAGGATGGTATTATGCAAGCTTTTTCTAATCTTTTCTGGTAAAGAAGCTCATTTTAATCAAAGAATTTATGAAATTTCAACCAGCTAGGTATACATCACAGGAATCTTAAGAGATTGCTATTGGTTGATTCTATGATTTCTGTTCCATGTTTAGAGTTTGAAGTGAGACCTATGGAAAAGCGAATCAGTATCCTACAGATTCCTTCAGAATACAAAAAAGTGTTAGTGTCTTGGCATCTCCATTTTATATATGTATAAAATTGTCCCTCATCCTAACCGAATTCTGGAATGCTTTTTGGAAATGATGGTATGGCAGGAAACCAGGTGCTCTGAGAGTCAGAAGGCCTGAATGGTTTTTTTCTTAATTATTTTTTTTGTTGAGGAAGATTAGCTCTGAGCTAACATCTGTGCCAATCTTCCTCTACTTCATATGTGGGTCACCACCACAGTGTGGCTGACAAGTGGTGTAGGTCTGTGCCTGGGATCCTAACCCATGAACCTGGGCTGCCGAAGCAGAATGCACCAAACTTGACCAGTACACCACTTAACCAGCCACAGTGAGTGGTTTTTTGTTTTGTTTTGAAGGCAGGTACATCTACCACTCAAAAACTTCAGTTTACTGAGAATAATCATATTTCTCAGGCTTACTATAAGAAAGATCCAAATAAGATGATATGTGACAGTACTTTTTAAATGATACTGCATTATGGGAATGCGTAATAAGAGGTAAAAAACATTAGTGCCACTTGTCTCAGATCTGATATTTATCTTAGTCCAAAGATACGTAATCTAGAAAGGAACAGCGGATGGACTAGGAAGTGTAGATAATCATACAAATTCCCTACTGTTCTATTTTCACATAGTTTCCATGGGTAGGCTAAAAGATGGCCAAAACTTGTTTGACACAGAATAGTTAAGCATTAACAAGGCTGTAGTCTGTAGTAATAATTTTTCCATGGAGGTGTTGCTTTAATACAAATACATGTTTTAGTTTTTGGAATCTCATCCCTTAGCCATTTCTCCCTAAAGACACCAAGTAATTCTCTTGACTTTATAACTTCATTGTATGTTGAATTTAAGTAATGGTCCAAAATGGTCATGTCTTCATATGCTTTGCCTTCTTTCTAATTTTTATGATTCCCAGTCTGCTTTTTAAAATTAACTAATTTTATTGGGGTATAATTTGCATATAGTAAAATGTACAGATCTTGTGTACAGTCTGATTAGTTTTGACAAATGTATACCACCATGCACCCATAACAATCAAAATATACAGAACATTTCCATCACCTCAGAAATTTCCCTCATCCCTACCCTTTTACAGTCAATCCTTACAGCTCTTTCTGCCTTCTCACTCTCCCACCCAGAGGCAACCACTGTTCTGATTTCTGTCACGATAGATTAACTTTGCCTGTTCTAGGTATTTTTATAAATGGAATTATATAGTATGTACTCTTTTATATTTGACTTCTTTTACTTGGCGTGTGCTTTTGAGATTCATCCATATCTCATCGCATGTGTTAGTATTTTATTTCTTTTTGTTGCTGATAATAAATTCTATTGAATGGATATACCACAGTATATTTAATCCATTCACTGGTTGATGGACATTTGAGTTGTTTCCAGTTTGGGGCTATTATGAATAAAGCTGCTATGAGTAGTTGCTTATACGTCTTTGGGAGGACATGTGTTTCTCTTGGGTAAATACCTAGGAATGGAATTGCTGGGCCGTACTGTAAAGTTTATGTTTATAAGAAACAGCCAGAATGTTTTCCAAAGTGACTGTACCATTATACATTCCCAGTAGCAATATAAGAGTTTGTTGCTCCATATCCTTACCAACACTCGGTATTACCAGTCTTTCTAATGATATTTCATTGTGTTTTTCATTTGCATTTTTCTGATGACTGATGATATCAGTCATATTTTCATGTGATTATTGGCCATTCATATATCTGCCGTTTTTTCATTCTGGCTTCCTGAAGTCTCCCCTGTGCCTGTGAAGTTTCGTGGTCAGCCAAGATTTTGAGTAGAGTTTATACTCAGGTTTAAGTGTTCATTCTCTCTGTGGTTCTCTTGCTTGTGGAGTTTTGCCTCTAAATTTCCAGGTATTTTGCCAGCCCTGATGTTTGTCTTCTGACATCTCAAGCTAGTAGACTTTAGCTTTGTGCCATCCTACTGTATACACATTGGGGACTCACTTAATAAAAAAAGCAGCAAACTCACTAGTCTTCCTAGTGCAGTAATGTCTCTCTCTCTCTCTCTCTTTTTTTTTCTGTGAGGAAGATTGGCCCTGAGCTAAGATCTGTTACCAATCCTCCTCTTTTTGCTTGGGGAAGATTGTCACTGAGCTAACATCTGTGCCAGTCTTCCTCTATTTTATGTGGGATGCTGCCACGGCATGACTTGGTAAGTGGTGCTAGGTCTGCACCAGGGATCTGAACCTGTGAACCCTGGGCCACCAAAGCAGAGCGTGAACTTAACCACTATGCTACTGGGCCAGTCCTGCAGTAATATCTTTTAAGGATGGATAGCTCACGAGATTCTGCTTGCTTTTTCGTTGCGCCCCCTAGGTCTCTCTTAAACATGCATAGTTTAGCAGTCAAGCAAGAATTTGTGGAGTTTTTGTTCAGATTTTGGGTGACACCTTTTCTGTGCATCTTTCACTTCCAGAATTTTCCACCTAGATTTCCAGCTGCTGTCCTAGCCTTGATTCTATCTTCTGTTATCCATAGCAAGTGAGACTGAAGTTTTCTGCTGCTGGAGCTGCCACATTTGGGGAACACCTCCAGGCAAAAAAGCTACTAACTCATAATTCTTATCATTTGCAGTTGCTGTTTTTCATGGATTCACGTTCTTCTGCTTTCTGCCTGCTTTTGGTTACTTTTTCCAGTCCCTTCAAATAGTCATTTTTTTCTATTTTGTATGCATTTTGTAGTAAAATGCAGGTAGATTTGCCTGATGAATTCACTCTTCATTACTCCATATTTTTTTTATGACTACTTTCTTTTGGGGATTAATATGAAAATATTTGCAATTAAAAGATATGAAATTTGGGATTTGCTTCAAAATCTAGGGGAATGATAAAGGGAAAATTGATACATGATTGGCTATGAGTTGATAATTTTTGAAGCTGAATGATGAGTACCTGGCAGCTTATTATATTATTCTCTTCGTTTTTTAATATGTTTGAAATTCTCCATAATAAAGATTTGAAAATTAGGTACTCTATGCAATAGCATAAAAATTTGAAAATCAAATAATCTCTTATAGTGTTTAGGACTTCTATACAGGAAGTGTGAGAAATTAAACAAAATCTAAATAAATGGCAGGATATACCATATTCATGGATTGGGAGACTCAATAGTGTAAAGATGTCAATTCTTCCTAACTGATCTGGAGATTCAGTGCAATACCCATAAAAATCCCAATGGTTTTCATTTTGGACATTGATAAGTTGATGCCAAAATTTATGCAGAAATGCAAAAGTCCAAGAATAACCAAGATACTTTTCAAGTGTCTATTAGATATCAAGGCATTTTATAAAGCTACAGAAATTAAAGCTTTGTGTATTACTTAAGGATCAATGACAGTAGTGGAATAAAAGAGTAACTCACTCTCCAGTATATGGAGATATATGACAAAGGTGGTACTACAGACCTATGGGGAAAGAATGTCGTCGTCCCCCCCCCCGCCCCGCACTCCCCACCCTTCAAAAAATAATTCTTGGACAATGGATATCTAAATAGAACAAAATGAAGCTTGGCCCCTACCTCACTCCATAGAAAAGAGTTCTAGAGGGATTGTAGATCTAAATATGAAAGCTAAAACTCGTATAAGGAAGGAGCCGGCTCCGTGCCTAAGTTCGCGCGCTCCGCTGCGGCGGCCCAGGGTTTGGATCCTGGATGCGGACATGGCACCGCTCGTCAGACCACGTTGAGGCGGTGTCCCACATCGCACAACTAGAAGGACCTGCAACTAAGATAGACAACTATGTACCGGCGGCGGGGGGGTTGGGACGGGGTGCGGGTTGGGAAATAAAGCAGGGGGAAAAAAAGAAAAAACTCGTATAAGGAAGTATAGGAAAATATATCTTCATGACCTTGGAATAAGGAAAGATTTCTTAAATTGGATACACACAGCAAAGCCCTGGCCATAATGGGGATGGAGTTTGATGTATTTGAGCACATTTATCTAATCAAATGATACCATAAAGAGAGTAAAAATCCTACCCCCACAGTGGGAGAAATATTTGTAACACATAAAATCTACAAAGGGTTCATATTCGTAGTACATAAAGAATTCTTACTGATCAATTAGAAAAGGATTGACAACTCAGTAGAAAACAAGCAAGAGACTTGAACTAGCACTTTATGAAAGAGGATAACCAAGTGACCAATAAACATGAAAAGTTGCTCAGTCTTACTGGTAATCAGGGAAAAGCAAATTAAAACCACAATGAGGTTCTACTACATACCAACTAATATGGCTAAAATTAAATCATCTGACAATACCAAATGTTCAGGAGGATGTAGAACAAAGCAGACTCTTATAATCTTGCCAGTGTAAGCATAAAGTGGTATAAGCACTTTGGAGACAACTTCAGTTGACATAACCAATGTCCTGTGACCTAGCAATCTTATGACTTAACATACCCAACAGCAACATGTGCACTGAGAGACATACAGAATCAACAGTAGACTGGGTAAATAGCAGTACATTCCTACAATAAATGTTAGACAGCATTGACAATCAGTGAATTAAAGCTACAAGAATCAACGTGGTTGAACCTCACAAACCTAATGTTGAGTGAAATAAACCAGACAGAAAAAAATACTTGTAGTAGTCTGATTTGTTATATAAAGTTTTCTGTTTGTTTTTTGTTTTCTGTCCAAATGAATATACTGTGTTTATGGAATGCATGTTTATATAGTAAAATGATAAAGAAAAAGTAATGATTACCATAAAACAAGTCAAGATAGCAGCTACTTCCAGTGTTCTGTTTCTTAGCCTAGGAGGTGATTTCATGAGTCTTCACTTTGTAATCATTTAACTTAATTGTTGTTTTGTTTACTTTTTGGTATGTGTTACAGTTTAACATGGAAAGGGAGGGTGTGGCTAAAAGAAAAAGGAGAAAATAAATATCTTAGTCAATTTCCAGGAGATCTGATATCTAATTTCAAGCCTGACAGCATTTAGCTATGTAACATCTTTTCTTACTTTTACCTATAAAAGGAGGGAGTTGTACTAGGTGATTGCCAGTGCCTTTAAAGAAAAAAAAAATCAGCTTTATTGAGGTCTAATTGTAAACACCAAAATGCATTTAAGTACCAATATTTTATGATGAAATTTCAAAAACTATCAGTAAGACAAGGAGAAATTAGATTTTTAGAGTGGAAAGGATCCCACTAAACTTTGTATAGCCCTTTGCAGTTTGACAGACTTTCACATTTCTGAGGAACCTTTATGTACCTGTAATAGATGTATTCATTTCACACAAATTTTGTCAATTCCTCTACCACAGAAGATCTGTTAGACTCTCTGCTCAGAAGGATTTGGAACAGAAAGAAAAACACCATGTAAAAATGAAAGCCAAGAGATGTGCTACTCCTGTGATCAATGAGATTCTACCCTCCAAAAAAATGAAAGTGTAAGTAGCCACAGCTTCTGTCACTTGTCAGTTGTTGGCTCCTGTAGTTAATAGCAAGCAGAATACACGGTGCTTGTTCTTATGCTTATCAGTTAGGACTGTATTTTACTGTAAGTAATAGCCTATTCAGCTAGAATGTTTTAAAGAATAGTGATTTATTTGCTTCACAGAAGTTGGTTTGCTGTTGGCTTTCGTTCAGTGACTAAAAATTGCCAGGGCAGCATCTCTGTGATTCTTAGCTTTTTTTTCATACTTGTTGCTCAAGATGGCTGCTCTATGTTTCTTAGCTTCTTCCTTGTGCTTATTGCCTCATTCTCACATGATAGCTGCTATATCTCTAGCTATCACATCCCCGTTCAAGAGAAGAAGAAGGAGACTATGGCAAAAGAAGAGGGACAGCACTCATGTCACAAAAGTGAAATATTTTCCAGAAACCCTTGTTACATATGTGTTGCCCAACTGTGTCACTTGGATACCCTCTAGTTGCAGTAGAGGCTGTTGAAGCAAGTACAATACTTTTGCCTTTGTACGTTGCCACCCCTAACAAAATTGGAGTTCTATTAGTAAGAAAGAAAGTGGAATAGATATTGGGAAGGCACCTAGCTGTCTGCCGTTTGTGTATTTGATGATGAGCGGTTGGAATCCCTCCCTACCCTCCTGAACCATCAGCAGACAACTCTTACTTGGCTTCTGTTGGTGTTCTCAAAGTTTACCTGTGGTAACCGTTGGTATGTGTGATCTGATGATACTCTTGGAAGAATCTTGCAGTTGAAGCATGCTTCTTGTCCTAAGGAATGAGAAAATTTAAGCCATATGTGGTAGATTTGGGGAGGAGGGTAGAGCTGGGCGTGCTTTAGGGAATTGAGGGGATATTTTTTTGTCCTTTTGAACAAAAGTTCTAGCAATAAAAAGAAGCCAGAGGAAGAGGAAGAAGGCAATGCTCATCAAGATACTTCTGAAAAGAATGAGTCTTCCCCAGAGAAGGTCAAGAGCAGACATACTGTGTCTTGTATACCACCTGTAAGGTATGCTTCTTTCCTGAATTTAACTTGAGAGTCGATAGAGTAAAATGACAAATGGGTACATCTGCAGTCTGTTTTGGTGCACGTGGAGCTTGTACCTAAGCTTTGGGAAACTCTTAAAACTGTAACCATGGTGAGGTGAATTGTTTCATGTCCTGGTGAGTACTCAAGTCTTAAACATTGAGAAAAAGATACTATTAAAGCAAATTAAAAGAAATATAAAAGGAAAAAGTTAGTGAAGGTTCTTACTACCAAATTGAACAGTTTTTATTTTGCCAAGCTCCCTTCTCGTCTTTACTCAAGTAAGATACATATTTTCACAATCATGTATAAACAACCTTTGAATTCTACTTTATTCACTTGCTATATTTTCTTTTTTTCTGTACTGCTACAAAATCTTCACATTTATCCTTTTTTGATAGATTGTTAATATTCTATCAAATTGTATTTAACCCATTTCCTGTTGAAAATGCAGTTTCCAATTTTTCACTATTATAAGTAATCAGTGAATATCTTTATACAGAGCCTTTTCTTTGAGTTTCCTTTTTTAGTCTCCTCAAGATAAGGGACGAGAAATTCCTTTATCAAAGGGTGAGACTAGTTTTATGGCTATTGATATTTATTGCCAATTTTATTTCTGAAATGAATGTATGAATTTACAGTGCCGTCAGCTTTTTTTTTTTTAATTTTTATTTATTTATCTTTTGAGGAAGATTAGCCCTGAGCTAACATCTGCTGCCAATCCTCCTCTTTTCGCTGAGGAAGACTGGCCCCGAGCTAACATCTGTGCCCATCTTCTTTCACTTTATATGTGGGACGCCTGCCGCAGCATGGCTTGCCAAGTGGTGCCATGTCCACACTCTGGATCTGAAACCGATGAACTCTGGGCCGCCAAAGCGGAATGTGCGCACTTAACCGCTGCAGCACCGGTCTGGCCCCAGTGCCGTCAGCTTTGAATGAATATTTTATTTTCTTGTCTCATGTGCTTTGGATTTTTTTTGCTTTCAAAATTATTTCAGGGCCAGCCTGGTGGCGTAGCAGTTAAGTGCGCACGTTCCACTTCTCAGCGGCCTGGGGTTCGCTGGTTCGGATCCTGGGTGCAGACATGGCACCGCTTGGCAAAAGCCATGCTGTGGTAGGTGTCCCACGTGTAAAGTAGAGGAAGATGGGCATGAATGTTAGCTCAGGGCCAGTCTTCTTCAGCAAAAAGAGGAGGATTGGCAGTAGTTAGCTCAGGGCTAATCTTCCTAAAAAAAAAAAAAAATTTCAAGTTTACTTGATATAATGTTGATGGCATCAAATTATTTTGATTTTTATCTGTTTGATTGCTAACAAGATTATTCTACTGAAGATTATATTACTGTTATTATAAAGATCTTTTCCATATTTCTGCTTGGGTGAATAGTCTGTTTCCTTTTCTATTTATTTATAAGTGGTCTTAGTGATGTTGTCATTACTAAGAATGGCTACTCTCAATTGAACTTTTACTGTGTCAAGTACCTCAGAAATATTACCTAATTTAAGAGTCACAAATATTCTGTGAAGGTGTTTATATTCCTCATTTTACAGTGAAGAAAACTGAGGCTCAGAGAGGTTAAATAGTTTTCTCAAGATGACATAGGCAGAAAATGAAATGACAGGGTTGCGATTTGAACTCTAGTTGGCTTTATTCCTAAGTCCTTTGTATCACAGTATATATTTTATGTACATTAACCTTTTGTCATATTTGTTGCTTATTTTCCCCATCCTACTGCTATTTTAATTTTAGTTTTTCTTCTGGCATAAAAGCTAATCATTTTATAGTCAAATTTGTGGCTCTTTTGTAATACCTTGTGTAGTCTATTTTAGCTAATTTTTCTTAAATTTTTTCAATATTTTAGTACAAGTTGTGCGTGGTTTTTTTTCATAGTGTTATCAAATTTGGTATTGATTTATTAGATATTACTTTTTGTTTTTGATGGTTATTTTGTCACAGGTTAAAAATCTAATCTAGATAATGCCTTTAGATTATTTTGAATCATTGAGACTCTTTCTCCTTTCCTCTCTTATCTCCTTTATTGATTTGCCCTTTAGGCGGAAGCTTCTAAAAAGTACTGAGGAGCAAGAGTTGGAGAAGAGAATGAAAATGCAGCAGGAGGTGATGGAGATGCGGAAAAAGAACGAAGAATTCAAGAAACTTGCTCTTGCAGGAGCAGGTCAGCTTGGCTCTGGTTGAGTCTGATTTATGAGGGGTGCTTCTGGTAACCTTGGTATATGGATTTTTGAAGTCTCTAAAGCAAAAAACGGCTGTCTTGTCTGGTAGTCTGCATAAAAAGATGTGTTTCTTTAGAAGGCTGGACATGGGTACCATTTATATCCCAATTATCATTCCCTAGAATGTTTTACATACATTAGCCCTTTCTTACAGCATGCTGTTTCTCTCCGTCTCTATCTATAGAAGTCACATCCATCTTTTGAGGCCTTTTTCCATGAGGACTTCCTCATTTCTTCAAGTAGAATTAATTCCTTCTTTCTTTTTCCTCCCAATTCTTTTTGTTTGTATTAGAAAAAGAAGGGACTAGGATTGAGACAGAAGTAAAGCAATTGAGCAGGCCAGTTTTTTGTTGTTGTTTTCCCATTTTATCCTAAGCAGAGGAACAGAAAGCTGAGCAAGTCCAGTTGTAGCTGGAGGAAAAGTGTGACTGAGGGAGCAGAAGGGGTCAGAGTTCTGCTTTGCTCTGGCCTAGAGTTAATGGTGGAGTCAAAGCTCTAAAGTCCTGCTTACTGGGGTGAAGAAGCACTTCTGGTGTTTGCAGGGTGTCCCTCTTAGAGATGCTTAGTTAAGTGTGCTTTTAGAGTCAATTGATGCCTTTTCCTATCAAAAGTATTCCAATTACTCTGTGTCTCCAGAGCTGTGACCACATTTGGGAAATGGGCTTCTTCTCCCCCTGCTGCCTCTTTATGGTTTGTGTCTGACTGAAGGGCCGCAAACCCAGTAGTACTCAATGAATAAAGCACACGTATTCGTGTCCCTGAGGACTGTTTCAAGTTTTGCGTTATATGTAAAGAGTGAACAAAGTTAGATCCATGGTAATAGAAATACCAAAAGGACTGAATAAAAGAGGATTTACTGATTTCTCTGTTCTTAGTGTCACGTGTGTGTTTTACTCTGCTCCTCACTCAGGGCAACCTGTGAAGAAATCAGTGAGCCAGGTAACCAAATCGGTTGACTTCCACTTCCGCACAGATGAGCGAATCAAACAACATCCTAAGAACCAGGAGGAGTATAAGGAAGTGAACTTTACATCTGAACTGCGAAAGCATCCTCCATCTCCTGTAAGTTGATGGACTAAATGAATATTCTTGTCACTAATTCAGTGAGGATTTCAGGTGGAGTATTTGTGGTCACTACTTACAGTAATACAATCAAGAGAAGCATATGTTTTTGAGTTAAGATAGATCTAAATCCTCTGTTAGCTTTGTGACCTTGGACAAATCACTCTATCTCTCTGAGAAGCATCTTACCAACTTGCTGTGAAAACGGAATTGAGAATGTACATAAAACGCATAGAATTATGTGTGGCAAATTGTAGGTATAGGCTCGTTACAGCTTGTGCTGTTACAAAATTCTTGAAAAACATCTGTGTCTGCAAAGTGGTGTACAAAATATAACAGAGTTTATGGGAAAAATGAGGTTGGGGCGGACCGCTTAAATCCTGTGCAGTTGTGTTACCAGAGCACTAACAAGGACAGTGACAGTCCTAAATAAAAATCCAGTACTGAGAATTCTCCGTGTGTTTGCAGTCAGCAGCGTTGTTTGTTGAAGTCAGTCCTTTGCAGTCTTAAACCGTGGGGTTGTGTTTCTTCCCTTGTGACATAGGTCCTTGAAGAGTTTGTTTCCAATCAGAGACCCGTTTTGTAAAAACTAACGATCCAAAGAATAGGCTTCTTCATCAGTCAGTTTTAGGGAGGGTGTGTGGAGAGATCTGACAGCTACCTTACCTGCTCCAGACCTGGAAGCCCAGTCAGTTTTTTTTAAAGGGATTTGGGGTGGGATACCTTTGCAGCTTTTTTCCCTTCTAATTCTAAGAATACTTCCTCTTTTTTTTTTTTTTTTTAGATTTTATTTTTCCTTTTTTTCCCAAAGCACCCCGGTACATAATTGTGTATTTTTAGTTATGGATTCTTCTAGTTGTGGCATGTGGGATGCCGCCTCAACATGGCTTGATGAACGGTGCCATGTCCGCGCCCAGGATCCGAACTGGTGAAGCCCTGGGCTGCGAAGTGGAGTGCGTGAATTTAACCACTCGACCGGCGGGCCAGCCCCAGAATACTTGCTCTTGATTCTTCAAAACATTAACTTGCTTGGGAAAAATCACCTTATGTACTATTGCAGAACAGATAATTTGTTAAGTGCTAGATTCTTTCCCCCCCTTTTTAAAAGATGGGAATAGACTAGTTATAACTCTTGCTCAAGAACTGGCAAACTTAAGAATAATAATCTTGGCTTTATGTGGACCCTTTTTTTTAATCCTCTGTGCTGAATATGTGGCTTGTGGTAGCTCTGAGCTCTTCTGTAACACTTCATTTTGGGAAAAACTCTTTCTTTACAGGCCCGAGTGATTAGGGGATGCACCATTATCAAGCCTTTCAACCTGTCCCAAGGAAAGAAAAGAACATTTGATGAAACAGCTTCTACGTATGTGCCCCTTGCACAGCAGGTCGAAGCCTTCCATAAACGAACCCCTAACAGATACCATTTGAGGAGCAAGAAGGATGAAATAGGCAAGTTTCTTACCAATATCATAGCCCGCTGGAGCCTCCCCTAGAATTCCCTTTGCTTACATCTTAGGCACAAATTTGCCTTTACTTGAAATCCTACTTTTGAACTAAAGTATGGCATATGCCTATGTGCAGACAACAATGTATAGTTGAGCATTTCTCAAACCACTCAGCTATCTGTCCACTTTTACCCATGAACCACCTTGATCCTCCTGGTCAATAATTGGCCATGGGGAATTAAGGTAACCTGAGATGTCATTACACATCAAGGCTATCTTTGCCATGTGTCAGAGTGTGAAATGCATTTACTCACCTACAGAAACTGAAGGCATTCCGTTCCTTCAAGGTTGTGTGCTTTTTGTTCAGCGACTCAACACATTTTTTAACCACTAAACACCAGGCACTGTGTTGGGTGTAGGGGATATAGAAGTGAACAAAATGGATTTAGTGCTACTCAACATCAAGTTCTTATTCAGTGAGAGAGGTGAACAAATAGATCATTACAGATTGTGGTAAGTGCTATGAATGTGGAGGGAGCTGTAAGAGTCAAGGGAGGTGGGAGATAGGTAGAGCGTGTCCATATGCTGAGAAGTCCCTGACAGAAAGGAGTGGAAGATACAGGAGAGAAAGGGGATAACCAATGATTAAGTCCCTGTGCAGGCAGCCAGGGGAGGGATAGTTAGCACAGGAGGAGTGGTGGTTCTTTGAAAGGAGGGTGGAAGAATGAGAGGAATGGGTGCAAATGTAGTGGGTTGTAGATTTGGTGGCGAACAGATAAGAGGATTCTAATCTAATAGCTTCTACCTTTATAAAAGTAATCACAAGAAGGAAGGTAAAGAAATTTGAGAAATGGAAGAGGTGTAAAATAGTTGTCAGGAGCATAAGGCTGGCATTCTGTATAAAGCAGAATCTGGTTGTTTTGAAGGTCTCAATTTTTTCTGTCCTTGCATAGGCATTGTTCCGTGCTGTGGTAGGTAGCCAGACAAGTTCCTTTAAGTACAGCATTTCTTATTATTGTTATTATGTTCCAGTAGCCATTTGTCAAATTTTATGTTATGAAAATAATGAAATGGTTTTTTATCCTAATGGAAATTTAAATATTAAACATGACTTTTCAAATAATATATGATTCTTAGAGTCTGATATGCCCTGCTCCTAGAATCCTGGTCCTGGCAAACAGAAAGGAGAATTATTTTCTGCAATTTTTATTTAAAACTGTACAATTCTAGCTAAATAATGGCTATATGTATACTTGAAGCCTGGCTTATTTATAAAATAAATAGATTTGGTTTCTATCTTCTTTTTTTTTGAAAGATTTTATTTTTCCTTTTTCTCCCCAAAGCACCCCAATACATAGTTGTGTGCTTTTAGTTGTGGGTCCTTCTAGTTGTGGCATGTGGGACGCCACCTCAACGTGGCTTGATGAGCTATGTCATGCCTGCACCCAGGATCCGAACTGGGGAAACCACGGGCTGCCACAGTGGAGCGTGTGAACTTAACTACTTGGCCGTGGGGCTGGCCCCATGGTTTCTATCTTCTCATCTTTTTTCTTTTTTTAAATTTTTTTTTTTAAATTCATAAATTCCTTTTGTTTTGTTTTGTTTTTTTCGGAAGATTAGCCCTGTGCTAACTGCTGCCAATCCTCCTCTTTTTTGCTGAGGAAGACTGGCCCTGAGCTAACATCCATGCCCATCTTCCTCTGCTTTATGTGTGGGATGCCTACCACAGCATGGCGTGCCACACTGTGCCATGTCTGCACCAGGATCTGAACCGGTGAACCTGGGCTGCCAAAGTGGAATGTGCACACTTAACTGCTGTGCCACTGACCTGGCCCCTTATCTTCTTATCTTATGTGATAAGATCTAAAATAGAGGACTCATCCTATATAATTGTGAAAATTGATAAGATTGCCCCTGGCTAGGTAAATCAATATTCTCTATGAGCAGTAGTATAGCCTTAATATTGATGGTTTGACATAGTTTTTTTACTTTCTCCATTTGACTTTCTATGAGAGATGGTCTTGATACTTTGATGTAGATGCTTTTAGAGAGTTCATAAAATTGGGAGTTTTTACTTATTTTAAATAAGAAAGGCCTTATTTTAAAGCTAGAATAAGCAACAATCTTATTTATCAATAACAAGCAAAATAGTTGGCACTGTCAATAGAAGGGAAGTACAGCCCTTTGCAGTGATAAGGAATCCATCAGACATGAATAGATTTTAAGTTCAGGAGATGATAGCAGACTACCCAAAGTCTCCTCATACCCCTCAGTAAAGAGTGATAGAGAAGAAGGGACAGAATGTTTGTGAGGTTGACTGATGAGAGCTGAGCTGAGCAGAAGGCCAGTCACTGTGCGATTTGGCATCTCTGGGCTGCCGAGCTGAGTTAGCACCTATAGGGAAATGGGGTCTTGGGGAGCTAGGTAAATGTCTGTGATCTCGGTTTACAGCTCTGTTACCCTCCAAATCTACTGTGGCCAAGATATCCAGAGACCCACAGACTCCCGTGCTGCAAACCAAGCAGCGCGCAAGGCCTGTGACCTGCAAAAGCGCAGCGGATCTGGAAGCCGAGGAGCTAGAGAAACTGCAACAGTAAGTCCCATCGGCAGCATTTGAGGGAGAGTTCTAAGAATCTGTCTGCTTTCTTTTCATTTCTGTAAGGGGGACAATTGCTCTTTTTCTTGCCATGGGAATTTATGGCATTTGAATTAGAGGCTCTGCAGGCTATGCCCCTGCCTCTATGATTAAAGGATTGAAAGTGGGAAAATGGAGATGTCCTGGAGTGTAAACTGGTAAAAAACTAAGGCAGAGGTTGGAGTGGGAGAACTTCCTTAGGATTCCAATTAATGGTTATCCTCTGAGATTAGTTTAGGTAGACCCCACCCCTTCCGGCTACCCAAGGGATCGTTACCGCTGTTATCAGTGGAGGAAACTGGACTTAATGTGGTTGGTACTGAAGTTTGTCTCCTATATCCTTCTTCCATTCCTTTTTGTACTTCTTTTGAGAAGGTGGAGCTTCCTCTGGGAAGAGAAACCCCAATCTTTAAAGTATTGGGAATGTTAGGACTGTCTCATTTATTCTTTGCTCTAGAGGTAGAAATAATGGCTATGGAGAGAACTGAAATTTTGCTGTGCAAGATGGGTAATCTTAATGATTATTATTTTTCTGTTTTTGGCTTACTTTGTGTTTCTGTCGTTTTCATTTTATTAAAAGAATTTTTTTTGTGGTCGTCATTTAAACTCTCACCTTACCAGATACAAATTCAAAGCACGGGAACTTGATCCCAGAATTCTTGAAGGTGGGCCCATCTTGCCCAAGAAACCACCTGTCAAGCCACCTACTCAGGCTATTGGCTTTGATTTGGAAATTGAGAAGAGAATCCAAGAGCGAGAGTCAAAGAAGAAATCAGAGGATGACCACTTTGAATTTCATTCCAGACCTTGCCCTACTAAGATCTTGGAAGACGTTGTGGTAAGAATGGTTGAGGCTCTGCATGCTGGCAGAAGTGCCCTGCTCATGACCAAATATCCACTCATTCACAAATGTTCGAGTAGGTGCTATGATCAGGGCATCAGGTTAGGAGCTGTGGGTGATAAAAAGACATATCAGAAGTGGATTTTGCTCTGAGGAAACTTAAAGTCTCAGCAAGGGAGACAACATGTTTAAATAACATAAAATGAGACAGAAGTGTTCTAACAGAGATGACAGTTCAAAGTACTATAAGCATTCAAAGGAGATAATGATTTCTTCCCCATAGAAGGTTCAGGGAACACTTTGTGGAGGAGGAAGCATTTGACCTGAGCCTTGACAAGGTGTAGTAGTCAGCGTTGTCATCCTCCTGTTGTTGTCAGTGTCATAATAGCTGACACTTTCACTTTGTGCCAGGTGCTGCTCTAAGCCCTTTTCCTGTATAAACCCGTTCATTTTGACCACAACTCCTTCAGGTGGTTTGCTCTAATTATCACCAGTTTTGGATGAGGCAATTGAGGGACAGAGAGGTTAAGTAGCATTCGCAGGGCACTCAGCTAGTAAAGAGGGGAGCAAGGATAAGAATTCAGGCACTTTGGCTCCAGAGTCCATGATGATCTTAACACTTCATCGTATTGCTTTTCTGCTACATGGTAGGATTTGGACTTGTAGAAATGCAAATGAAACGGACTGGTAGAGCATGCCAGGCAGTGGGAATAAGACAAAGCCTGAGTGTGGGGTAGCTATGGGAGCTGTGAGTGACTCAGTTAAATTGGAAAAAAGAAGTGTGTTAAGAGGAGCAACTGGAAACTAGACTAGAGAAGTGGGTTGTAGTTTGATGGTGGGCTCACAGTCATGATTTTAGAGAAAATATACAATCAGGAAGAGATGCCACGGTCAAAGATAAGTAATGGAGTTCAGCACCTGCATAAGTGCAAAGATAGGTTTTGGATGTATTTCTATGCTGATGGGAAAACACCCTATCCCCCTAATTTGGATTGATTTATGTGCAGATACTAGAAGAAGTCTGTTTTTCTGTCCTCTTTCTTTTTGCTCGCCCTTTAGAGTCACCATGGTTTTAAGTGAAACTGTGTACCAATATATTACCTTCAACTGGGGACTTAGTTTTGTATATTCTGTTTTCTTAGCACTAAGTCAGAAGCAATCTGAAGTTATATTTTCCAGGCTTTAAAAAAGCATGATAATGCTTAGAAATGATTCTTCCTCTCTTCTTTCAATTGAGGGCTTTCTCCATGTGAGGCCTCTTTTCTATTCACAATGCTTTTCTCTTTTTTTTGTTGCTCTGATGCACATGTACTATAGGCCAAACTCTGTAACATAAACTTTCAAGAAACCTCTTCCCACGCAAGTGATTAGTCTCCAAGAGCTGTGCCACCTTTGTCCTTACCTGCTGAGGAAGCAGTATTCTGAATTTGAGGGAAATGTGGGTCATAGGCAAATTCAGAATCCTAGAGCCAGAAGGGCTCTATGTTTCCATTTTACTCACTAGGAAACAGAAGCCCAAAGAAAAGAAATGACTTCCTGAAGGCTTCTGTAACATTCATTTGGCACCAAGCTTTTATTTGTTTATTTATATTAAAGATTGGCACCTGAGCTAACATCTGCTGCCAATCTTTTTTTTTTCTTTCTTCCCCTCCAAGCCCCCAGTACATAGTTGTAGGTCCACACCTTGCTTTTAATAACATCTTTTTCTCCAAGCTCCTGGCTTTTCCTCCTGCTATAAGTTTTTGTTTTTTATTTCATTCACATACCACCTTCTTGATTTTTACTATATCCTTGTATCTCATATACCAATATTGACTTTATATAGTCTTAAAATCGACTAATTTTTAAAGTAATTTTAAAGGGAACATTTAAATCACTATATAAATGGAAAGCTGGTACTTTTTGCCATAAATAACAACAATAATAGCTAATACTTATATAAAGCTTATTGTATGCCAAGTTTTATTCTAAGCTCTTTATATAATAACTTAATTCTCATAATAATCTTATAAGGTAGACACTATAAGTACTATTATCAATCTGTTTTACAATTAGGAAACATACAGGTTAAGTAACTTGCCCAGGATCACAAACTAGCCAGTGATAGAACTGGAATATGAATCTGTGTAGTAGGGTTCCAGGCTCCATGCTCTTGTTTTAAAATAGAAGGTTCTGGGGCCAGCCCGGTGGTGCAGTGGTTAAGTTTGTGTCTTCTGTTTCGGTGGCCCAGGGTTTGCTGGTTCAGATTCCAGATGTGGAACTACGCACCGCTTGTCAAGCCATGCTGTGGCAGGCGTCCTACATATAAAGTAGAGGAAGATGGGCACAGATGTTAGCTCAGGGCCAGTCTTCCTGAACAAAAAGAGGAGGAATGGCGGCAGGTGTTAGCTCAGGGCTAATCTTCTTCAAAAAAATTAATAATACTTAATAAATAAAATAGAAGTTTCTTAGGAAAATATGTGATTATTAAGTAAAAATATCCCACCGAACATCCTCTTCCATATCACCAGTCATGCCTGAACTCCATTTTTAGAAACATTGATTTGGGAAATTGGTTTGGCAGTTTGTTGCACTTTGGAAATGCTCTGGTGAAGTAGGAAGTGGGGAAGGGTGACTTGAGTTCATTAGAGTTAGTTAAGTGAGGTCTTAGAGTAGCATTGTACCAGGTTATGCCTTGTTGAGAATTCTGGATAAACAGATCAGCAAAGCACTAGGTAAGTAAGTAAGATGCGACTGAATTGATGTGGTATGCTGGAGGGAAGTGTTTGCCAAATTCAACTGGTTCTCAGAATCCTCTGGAGATCTTATTACATAAACAGATTCCTGGGTCCCACCCCTGGAGTTTTGATTTGTTAGGTGCGGCGTAAATTAGAGCACCCGTGAAGAACTTAGTGTCTGACACACAGTAAGCAGTCATGTTGTTAATAGTAATAACTGTCATTTTATTGCATGCTTACATTGTACTGATTGTTTTATGTAGATTATCTTATTATTTCTCATAACAACTCTTAAGAGGTAGCTTCTATTTTTATCCTGCTTTTTCAGATGAGGAAAGAGGCACTAAGAGGTATCCACTATGCAGAACCAGAATTGGAACATCTCCTTAAACACTATATTATTCTACCCCACAATGCTAACTGATATCATTGTTTATTTTGGCAAACGCACTTTTTTGAGTTTGACGCTGGCTGTTTGCAGCTCTCCCTACTAAAATTTCGAATGATTTTCACTTCAGCTCTTGGTTTCTAGAGAAGCAGAGCATAGAAGGAGACATTAGATGTATTCTTGTCCACCCTCTTCACTCTTCAGAAAGGAAGCTTTGAAAGGGGAATGCGGTTTGCCCATGGAAACCTTTTTAAAAGTTGATGGCACAGCTGAGCCTATGTCTCTTGACTTCTAGTCTTGGATTCTTACAGCAGAACAGAAAAGCCTGCCTCCCAGAGCCCAAATGCAGCCTGTCTGTCTGCCACTGTTGTCCCCCACCTGTGTCCCCCTGGTGCTGAAGCTCCCTTTCCATGTGTCCTTATGGTATTTCTTGCGCTCTCCCACTGTGGTTGGTAGGTGGCAAGGAGCCAACAGGGCTGATGAGAGATGGGCTTGGGCAGCAGTGGGCCATGAGGCAGAGATGAAAAAGGGCTCTGGGGGTAGAGGGGGAGTGATGAAAGCCTTGAGCTCAAGGGTGTGAAATGTGAACTTGGTGCCGACATCTAGTGGGGAGCTGGGGCACCACAGAGGTGGATGTGCTGTCAGTGAGGCCAGTGAGTAATTTTAGCAGTGATATTTTAGGGATGACTTGGGTAGACCAACAGGCTTTTTTTTTTTTTCATACTCCCTGAGATAATATTGCTTCACAGTAATTTACTAACTGCTCTAGGACAGGCCCGAGAACCTTTGCCCGGGGCACTTGGGGGCATATCCTGCCTTAGGGAGAACTGCTCACCCCAACACCCCCATCTCCCCTCCTGGGGTGCTTTTCCTTAATGTGTCCTCTGTCTATCCACATTGCCCTCTTCTAACCACACATCACCTCTTTAGAGACACCTTCCCCGAGCTTCCCATCGGAGCTTCCCCCCATTATCCTTTAGCTCCACATTCTGCTAGGTTTCTTCAGAGCACTTGTGAAAATCAGGAAATACTTCATTTGTTACTTTTTCATCATCTCTTTCCTCCGCTAGAATGTGAGCTCCCTGAGAGCAGGGACTACGTATGTCTGCTTTGTTCACTTCTGTATCCCCAGCTCCTGGCATCACAGCATAGGCGGCCAATATTGGATAACTGAGTGAGTGGCGAAACAAGCTGAAATGCACCAGCCTGGTTAGACATGGGGTATTCAAAGATGGAATAAGACACAATCATCATCCTCAAAGCTTTCACAATCTGCTAGTGCAGATTGACATGTAAACAAATAATGATGGTAATATTAATCAATGTATTTGGTGAACAAAAACTGCTACTTGTAGATGCTGTGGAGAATGCAAAGAAACGCAAATGACGATATTCCCTGCCCTCAAGGAGCCTATAACTAAACAAACTTAAAATAGCAAAACAAGCTGCCTTCTCTGTTTTCTAGAAACTCAAATTCCTTTTCTTTATTTCTGATTGGGCCCTCAGTTGGCTTTGATTGCAGTGGAGGTGGGAGTGTCGGTGGATAGTTGCTGCAAAGTTGATTTTCGTAAATCACCTTTCCCTCTCCCCCAACTAATTAAGAGGATTGATTGTGCATAAATATCTCTTTCATGGCTAACTTATTAGAGATTTCCATTGCTCCTCTTGTAAAACACACATCTCTGCTGGGTGGATGCAGAGAAGACAGGGGAAAAATAGGAAAAGAGAGATTATTTTAGAACTAAATGAGTGCTCAGATATTTATTTTCATTATTTTATGAAAAGACAAAAACAAAAACCGAAGGCCTAGAAAACTATCTACTGTGCCCAAGTTAAACAGATTAGAATCAGAGCTGGACTAGAGCAGACCTCCGATTCCCTGCTCAGTGTTCTTCCTGCTCCCACCTGTCCAGGATGTTGTAGAACAACAGATTTTTGTTGTTTGTGGTAAGCATTATTTGAAAACCCGTTTCATGGACTTTTGTCACTCTGATTACAAGTTCTGCTCTATTGGATTTCACTATGCTAGTGACCTTGGCTTTCTTTAGAAAACATACAAGAACTTTCACAGCAGAATGAGCATCCCTTTACAGTGGTCACCTTGCGAGGGTATAAATTCTTTCCAATGATTGATATTGTACAAAGCATTTTGGAAAAGCCACTTGTCTTGGGTACTTGAGCACAGTCATTTGGGTCTCTTCAATGATGGTAAATCTTCATATTTTAAAGATTTGTTTGCTTTTAGGAGTTTGTCTAAAGTCATTTGGAACTGAAACTTCTGAGCAGTCCAGTATAATAGATCTGGAAACAATTTCATTTAATTAAAAGTAAAGATTGGGGGCTGGCCCCGTGGCCGAGTGGTTAAGTTCACGCGCTCCGCTGCAGGCGGCCCAGTGTTTCGGTGGTTCGAATCCTGGGCGCGGACATGGCACTGCTCATCAAACCACGCTGAGGCAGCATCCCACATGCAACAACTAGAAGGACCCACAATGAAGAATACACAACTATGTACCGGGGGGCTTTGGGGAGAAAAAGGAAAAAAATAAAATCTTTAAAAGTAAAGATTGAGCAACTACCTTATATGGCCTAAAAACTGACTTTGAAAGCCATGCCAGAAAGACATTCCAAACATGTTTTGAAGAGTTGCAACATTGTTGGGATTAAGAAGTCTCCCATGGTATAAATTAGAGTCCAAGAGACTTAGAGTCCAAGGTATAAATTCTGTTATTCATTCTTACTGTATTCATTCAGCAAACATTTACTGAATGCATTATACTTGCCAAGGTCTGGTTAGGTGCTAGGGATTGATGGAATAACAGTCCTCACTTTCAAAGCACTCATGCTAGCAGGAGGAGATGGCCGTCTAAGTAAACAAGTGCACTGAAATTTTGTATGTACTAGGATAAAACTATATACAGGAGAGAGAGGGCTCATTTCCGTAGGTTCTAGGAGTGGAGAGATCTATTGAAAGGCTTTATAAACGAGGGACGCTGGGCACCGGCCCCATGGCCAAGTGGTTAAACTTCTGCGCACTCTGCTTCAGCAGCCTGGGTTCACAGATTTGGATCCTGGGTGTGGACCTACTTCACTTGTCAGGCATGCTGTAGAGGCATCCCACATAGGAAGTAGAGGAAGACTGGCACAGATGTTAGCTCAGGGACAGTCTTCCTCAGCAAAAAAAAGAGGAGGATTGGCAATGGATGTTAGCTCAGGGCGAATCTTCCTCACAAAAGATAAATAAAACAAAAGAGGAGATGCTTCAGTGGAGGCTTGAAAAGAAGGGCTAGATGCTTCCAAGCAGCCAGGGCATTTCAGAGGGAAGAGAGCACAAGCAAAGGTACTGAGCTGAGAACCAACGTTACATTTTGACAGCTGCCAGTAGTTCATCGTGGTTGGAGGGTGTTGTGTAAAGAGGAGCAAGGGATAAGGCTGAAGAGTCAGGCAGGGTGCCTGATTATGAAGGGCCTTGTACTTTATGCCAAGGAATTTGTTATACTTTCATAGGTAAACAATAGGAGCCTTTAAAGAATTTTAAGTCAGGAAGTGATGTGATCAGATGTGTTTTAGAAAAAATTCTGACTATATACAGCAGATGGATTGGGGGAATGAGAAGAGAAGCTGAAACACAGTTATAAGGCTAGTGGAATGGCACAGGCAGTTGATGATGTGGCCTATCTCAGGGCAGTGAAGAGTAGAGGGAGCAGAATAGGGAGCTTATGGGGCAGTGTATGCATGTGAGTATAACAAGGAAGGAGTTATTGAGGATGTCTCAAGGTTTTGATTTTTTTTTTAATTGATCTGATCATACACTTCATTCAAAACAACAGCCCAAGAGATACCATTTTGCGGTTCGGATTAATTTCCAGTTTTGTGATAGAGTATAAAGTCTATGAGAATCAAAAAATGCTTATGGAACAACTTTCTAAAATGTGTTAGTTTTGAATGATGTGCACGTGATGAAACATGTAATTCAGTCTGCAAGAATTTGAAGTGTTGGCAGTCTTTTGGAATCATGAAGGAAAAAAATCTTTGTAGTAGTTGAATGTATTAGAATTATGGAAGATAGAAAATTAAATTCTTCTCTTAATTCACTCTCAAAGAGATGTGAGAGTTAACAGTTTGGTGTTCTTTGCAGATTTTATTTTCTATGCTTAGGTTAATTATATAACATTTTAAAAACACACAACAATAATATTCTGTTTCAACAACTTATCCCTCTCCCCTCAGTATTATGAATACTGTTCTGTGTCAGTAATAAAGATTTGTTTTATTCTTTTTGATGGCTGCATCATATTATATTGTGTGGATGTGCTACAATGTAAGGAAGGATTTAACTGATCCTTTCTTGATAAATAATTTGTTTTTTGCAACTTTTTATTCTTTTAAAAAGTGTTTTGAAGTATACCTAAAAATTAAACTAAATGAGATCAGATACTAGAGGTGTAATATTGGATGAAAGAATATGACCATTTAAAAATTTAATAGCTAATTCCCAAAGGTTGTACCAATTTATACCCTGTACCCTTACCCAGCTGTTTGTGAGTGCTCACTTCTCTTCACACATGCCAACATTGGTATTAGTCAGTTTTTAAAATATTACTCCCAGTATTATAGGTGAAAAATACTGTGTTTTAATTTATATTTTTAAAATTACCGAGATTGAGCCTTTTGTATGTCTTTGTGACCTGCTTGTTCTTGTTCTTTGCCCGTTTATTTCGCAAAAAGGAAATTAAACTAGCCCTTGGCCAATACCTTTTTTTTGAGGAAGATTAGCCCTGAGCTAACATCCGTGCCCATCTTCTTCTACTTTATATATGGGACGGCTACCACAGTATGGTGTGCCATGCGGTGCCATGTCCGCACCCCGGATCCGAACCTGCGAACCCCAGGCCGCCAAAGCGGAACGTGTGCACTTAACCGCTGTGCCACTGGGCCGGCCCCTCCCACTTGTCTTTTGAGGGTAAAGTTTTTGACCGTAAGTTATCATTGTAGTGCTGAATATGGAATAGGTTTAGGAGAATGGACAGTATTTATTCTGATCCTCGATATATTTGGAAGTCTTTGTGTATTTTGTTTTTGAGAGATTGGACTATAGAAAGGAAGAGAACAATAAAATATTGGCATTAGTTTGTTTTCTGTTATGGGAGTGTTTCTCATAAATACCAAAAGAGATTTTGATGAACCTTATTTTCGCTGAACTTACAACTCAAACTATATCCTTGTTGTTTGCTGCTTGTCTGTCATAATAAGCCACCTTTGGGGTGCTGCTGCATACCACATATGCCTTTGTCTTAGTTGGGTAAACAACAGCACACTGAAATACTAGTCTTTTTTTGATTCCTGGTATATCAACTTCCCTTTAAGAAAGGGATTTAATCATATCACAAGCCTAGTGGAGATTGTTCTGGCATGTCTAATTGAGTTGCTTACTCCTTCCAGGGTGTTCCTGAAAAGAAAGTACGTCCAGTCACTGTCCCCAAGTCACCGGCATTTGCATTGAAGAACAGAATCCGAATGCCCACCAAAGAAGATGAGGTGATTCCTTGGGATAGGGAATTTCTTCTTCCTTCTGCATAATCAATCTAAGAGTTATTCTTTCTTAGGCTTAACGGAATTCAGAGGCAATTACTCTTGTCTGGAGTTGTCTCTAAGAATGAGTATGAACATTTGATCATCTTTTTTGCTCCTCTAAGAGGAGCAAGGGTATGGGTAAGGATAATGTTGATAAGGGTACGAACTTTCTGGCTTTCAGGGGTAACTGGTTGCAACTTATTAGAGGCTTATCCATTTCTATGGCACTGAAAATCGGCCTGTTGTTGTAACATGGATCAAAAGTTGCCAAGCCCTACTCTCTGTTTTGCCTGAGCTATTGTCACCTTCAGTGAGGGACTTTTAAAACTCATACTAAGCTGTTAAATCCACCCTGAACTATCTCCATTAACCCAAAGGTTGTGTGGTGATGGTTGATGAAATTGGAATACAGAAACTGTCATTGATCAGGCTAGTTTCTTGTTACATCTCCCATTTTATCTATAAATATCCAGAGTTAGGGTAATTTTATAGCAGATCTCAAGCATAAGCCTTTTTATAGGTTCACTTGAAACTAAAATACACAGTAATCTTATGCTACCAGCTTGAACCCAAACAACTTACTTGGTCCTATTCTGGGTTTGGCAACCCTTAACTCCCAGTCACCTGTTTCAGTGGACTCTGGAGGCTGGGTCAAAGAAGAGGCCAAGGTATATGCTTGGTTAGTAGCTTTCTTCTCTTCTTCATTTTATTCACACCGTTGGACCTCATTTAGTTTTTACAACCTTCCTGTGAAAAACATTAGTTCCTTGAAGGGTAATTGTGTTAGTCCTTTATCAAATGCTTCCACATTGGTCTCACCCCTGTGAGTTGGTAGGTGACTTAGGTATTATCCCTCTTTGATAGAAAAGGAAGCTAAAACACCCAAGAGGTCGAGTGACTTGCCTTAATTAATGACTTCTTTTCATATAATGTCTTCTGACTCCACAGTCTGAGGAGGTGAGACAGAGTGAGGAGTCTTGTTTCTAGACTGCACTTTTTCTCTTAGGAAGAGGAAGAGCCAGTAGTGATAAGAGCGTTACCTGTGCCACATTATGGGGTGCCTTTTAAACCCCAAATGTCAGAGGCAAGAACCGTGGAAATATGCGCTTTCTCTTTTGATTCTCGAGACAAAGAACGTCAGTTACAGAAGGAGAAGAAAATAAAAGAACTGCAGAAAGAGGAGGTAGGTATTTCCATTTCGGCAAGTAGCGGAACACTATTCTTTGATCCCTCAAAGATAATCTTTTATTTTTCACTTTTAACTAGAAAATCACTGACTTCCTTCGATTCCTCAAAGAACCTTATGAAGCAGAAATAGGGCAAGGAATTTTACTAAGCTTTCTGGTACAAGGAAGTGAAGTGACTTGCCCATGATCCTTCTGGCTGCTATTGGCGATATTGGAGGGCAAACCTCGATTTCCTTTTGAGCCCATTACTCTTACTGCTACACCATGCTGCTTTGAAAACTGGCATTTCCTAGTTTTCAGATTCATCCAAATATTCTGGAGCAGGTATTGCTTTCTGGTGAGAGAGGCCGTATCTTAAATTTTATATTTTCTCTTAGGTGCCCAAGTTTAAGGCACTTCCTTTGCCTCATTTTGACACCATTAACCTGCCAGAGAAGAAGGTGAAGAATGCGACTCAGATTGAGCCTTTCTGCTTGGAGACAGAAAAAAGGGGTGCTCTGAAGGCACAAACTTGGAAGCACCAGGTGGGGGATGAGGAGAGCAGCTAAAATGTTAATTGCTTGATTGTTGATTTGTTGGAAAAAAGTAGGGGCCGGCCCCATGACCAAGTGGTTAAGTTCACGCGCTCTGCTTCAGTGGCCCCAGGTTTTGCCAGTTCGGATCCTGGGTGTGGACATGGCACCGCTAATCAGGCCACGTTGAGGCAGCATCCCACATGTCACAACTAAGAAAAATATATACAACTATATACAGGGGGGATTTGGGGAGAAAAAGCAGAAAAAAAAAAAACAAGATTGGCAACAGATGTTAGCTCAGGTGCCAATCTTTAAAAAGAAAAAGAAAAAACTAGACTCACTACACTGAAATTCATCTGGGAATGAACATACTGGATTATTTCAGGGGCTGTCACTCTAAAGCAGGGGTGAGTAAACTTTTTATATAAAAGACCAGGTAGTAAATATTTTAGGTTTTGTAGGTTACATATGGTCTCTGTCACGTGTGTTTCAACCCTTTAGAAATGTAAGAACCATTCTTAGCTCACCGGCTGTACAAAAAGAGGTAAGCTGGATTTGGCCTGCAGGCTGAGGTTTGCTGAGTCCTGCTCTAAGTGATCTGATCATCTGGGGAATGTGAGCACTGACAGGCTTTTTTCTGTGTCAGGAGTTACTTTAAGATCTCTTCTGTTTTATCTGTTAGGCTTGTTCATTAACTATTCACGTCTTTCTGTACTGATAAGAAGCAGTGTAATAAGAATAGATTCTCAATATGGTTTGCTGTTTTCTCAACATTGTGTGCTATTTGCTCTTTATAGATGACAGGTGATTAAAAATAATTAATTTGTTATTGGCTGGTTTAATTGGGATCTAATTCTGCCCTACCTGAGAGAGGGTGGAAAAAATTCCCCTGAAACCCACCCTCAGTGTGTCAATATTTTTGTATTTTTGTCACATCCTAGACTCTGTCTAAAAGGAGCTCTGGGCTAATCTCTGTTTATGGGAAGTCACCCCTCTTGAAGCCCAGGAGATGTGATTTCCTCCATCGATGGATGCAGGTCCTTTGTTGCTGTTGTTCTCTAGGAAAACTTGGGACTGTTGCTTTGGAAATGGAGTATATCTGTCTTTCAGGGACCATGACACAGAATGTCTGTGTTTCGTATTTTCCATAATAATATTTTTAAAAATGTTTTTAGACATATGCAAAAGTAGAGAGAATAGTATAATGAACTTCCATGAGCTTGTCACCTGGTTCTATAATGATCAAAACACGGAAAGTCTTGTTTCGTCTATACTTCTACCTACTTTTCTCTACACCGGATCCTCCTACCTACACAGGGTTACCTTGAAGCAAATCCTAGGGATCATCTCATTTCACCCAAAAATACTTCAGTATGTATCTTTAAAATATAAAGAAAAGATTAAAAAAAAAGCCATAACCACAATAATATTTTCACACTCAAAAAGATGAGCAGTAGTCCCTTAATAGTGACAAATAGTCAGCATTCATATACCTCTAAATCTCTGAAAATTTTTTAAATAGTTGAATTCTTCAAATCAGGGTCCAAATAAGCTTCACATATTACATTTGTTTGATAAATCTCTAAGTCCCTTTTAATATAGGCTCCTCTGCTTGCGTTTTATTTGTTGAATAAAGTAGATTGTTTGTCCTATAGGTTTTCCATCATCTGGATTTTGGTGATTGCATTCCCATGGTGTTCTTTAATATGTTCCTCTATCTCCTGTACTTCCTATAAATCTAGATCTAGAGGCTTGATTAAATTCTGGTAATTTTGGGGTTGGGAGGGAGAATACTTCATAGGTGATCACATCCAGGAGTATATAATGTGTGCTCGTTTATTTTTGTGATGTTAAGATAGGCCTTAAAAGTATATTAAAGATACTTTCTAGTTCTCGTTGGGTTCAGATGTTGTCAGTCTAACCTACTCAGTGCAAAGTCTATGTGAGGGGTTTTAACTGGGGTTTGGATTAAATCATCTGCTGTCTTTATTGATGAAGCACTTTAGAAACATGAGAACTCAGTCATTGAGGTGGCAGTCGTGGAGAGTCGTGTCGTTGCTTATCTGACAGACTTTTCTTTCTAACAGCTGGAGGAAGAACTGAAACAGCAGAAAGAAGCAGCTTGCTTCAAGGCCGGTCCAAACATTGTCATCTCCCAGGAGCCCTTTGTTCCCAAGAAAGAGAAAAAATCCTTTGCTGGTATTATTATATGTACCCTTGGGGGTGGGGCAGAATTGGCAGACTTCCTATGGGGAATGCCTTGGGACTCACTTGTCAGTATAACGCTGTGTCAATCAGAAGCGTTTGCCTTTAGAGGATCTAGTTTATCTCCCCCGGATCCACTCTTTTGCCTTTGTTGTACCCAGCAGCTATGTTGAGTTGCAGAATGTGTTAGGGCCAGATTCATAGAACAAGAGCCAGGGCAGAGGCAGCTGGCATTTCAGCAACAGTTATAGGCTTTCCCCACCCAAAGAGTAGCAAGTAAGTAGGGGAGGGAGAGCCAGGATTTCTTTCCAGAGTTCGCCCTGAAGCAAGCCTTAGATCCAAAATAGTTGATTCCTTAAGCACTGGACGAAGTGTCAGAAAATTGGGATTCTTCTCCTACATCTGTTTCAAAGTCACTATATAGTTTTCAGCAAGCTATTTCACATATGGGTTTTGCTTTTCTCCTAATTAGATGATTAGATAATTAGGGACCCTTCCCACCCCTAAAATTCTAAGACTTTGTGTGTGGTTTACTTCACCTTTGTCCCAACAGGGCTAGCTTAGAGCTCAGCCTTTCTGTGGCCACGCGCGTCTGTGCCACTTGCTGGATCCATGGGGGCTAAGTTTCTGCAAGTCCTCCTTGTGCACCGATATTCTCTCTGTTTCTGTACTCAGAGGGCCTCTCTGGTTCTCTAGTTCAGGAACCTTTTCAGCTGGCCACTGAGAAGAGAGCCAAGGAGCGGCAGGAGCTGGAGAAGAGAATGGCTGAGGTGGAAGCTCAGAAAGCCCAGCAGTTGGAGGAGGCCAGGCAGCAGGAGGAAGAGCAGCAGAAGGAGGAGCTAGCCAGGCTACGGAAAGAACTGGTAACTGAACAGCATGAGCGCTGACTAACCCACTGTTGTCTCTATTTTGTTTTATCTGTACCTTGTCTTACTCCAGAAAGGATCTAAGGTGGCCTACGTGACATATCAAAGATGAGTGAAAGCAGGAAATCACACAAACCAAGGGTGGTCACAAAGCTAAGACGTGAACAAAGCTGAAGATGTGAACATTGTGATCCACACACATATCTGCTACGTTTGAGCCATAATTTTGGCCCTTTTAAGAAGCCACCCTGTTGCTTACAAAACTTACACTGTTCATGAGATATAAACAAACTAGTTGTTAAAAAAAAATAAATTATCCTTGATATTGAATTCAGACAGAATTTCTTCCAGGAGTTTTCGTAAGGATATCATGTGGTATAACTATGCGCAGTGATGCATTCATAAGACTCTTTTTATTTATTTAACTTATTTTTATTATTTCCTTAAGGCTTAAGAAAGCCAACGTGTTTTACAATTAGACAGGAAAACCTAGGTAGGGAAGAGCATAGGAATTGTGTGGCAACTGTATTTTCATTTTCCTCTTAATACTTGACTCAGATTCCTTGGGTTATGGTGCATATTGGTCCAGGTGACCCTTCATGCTAATACTAGCATAATGATTTAGATATTAGTTATCCAAAAAGAAAGCTTAATTCACATTAAGGACCCTTCTATTAGGAGGGCAGCAAGCCACTTTAACTGCATTAATGAGGAAGAACACAGTTATAGATGGAACTTCATGTGATTAATAAAAGGATGAATATAGAAATACGTAAGTTGAGGCTTTGTCTGAAAGTGCTAGGCCAGCAGCTGTTAAGCAGGGTGACTATGGCTGCAGGAAAGCTCTAGGGACAAACTATTAAAGGGACTAGCTTTTCGGCAAAATCCAAGCTACCATTTGCTGATTGGATGAAAAAACAATTCAGTCCCCACTCTAGGTATACTCACAAAACCAGCCTTTTTTCTAGCCTCAAGTTCTTTGATTTTTCTTCAGCACTTGGTAGCTGTCTTTTGTCTGTGTCCCCATCATAGAGCTGTTTCTTACAGCGAGTCTCACTGTAGGCTGATGGCCACAACCTAAAGCACAGCTCAGTCGGTGCTAGTTAGCTCTCTACTAATCCGTCTTGATTCAGGATTTAGACTGCCCAGAGGATGGCCAGGATCACGCCTTCTCCCAGCAACCCTTCCTGGTTATTGTGTTTTTTGTCCATTCTTTTGGTGAATATTAAGACTCAGTAAGCTTAAGATTGTACTCTGGCAAGTTCTTACCGTGTATCTCTTCTCTGCTGCAGTTGAGTACAGCCCCATTACACCCTAGGAATAAACAGTCAAACTGGAGATAGGTTTGACCTTCTTCAGTGTAAGCTGAGAGACCCTGCAAGACCTGAATAGAAACCTAGTTGGGCTCCAAAGCTCAGGTGCTTTTTCATGCTAGTGTTGCCTTTTTTCTTCCTCTTTGAATTAGTGAATGGGATCTGTAAAACTACACCAACATTTTCTCAAGAAGAAAAAAACAGTTATAAGTGTAGTTCTCTAACCTCCTTATCAGTGGTAACTTTATTTTCCTTACTCGGCAGGTGCACAAGGCAAATCCAATACGCAAGTACCAGAGTGTGGAGGTCAAGTCAAGTGACCATCCTCTGACTGTGCCCGTATCTCCCAACTTCTCCACTCGATTCCACTGCTAAACTCAGCTGGGAGCTGCAGACACCACCTGGGAACAGGAGCTGCTCTTTCCATCAAACCAGGGAACTTCTTTCTTTGTCACTGGGGCATGGAGAGAACCCATTTGTCCAGACTTTTACCTACCCATGCCCAACAGAGCATACCTGACAAGTGTGGACTCCAATTCTGTTGAGAATTGTTTTCCTACATTATTGAGGTTAATGATGAAACTCAACTCACGTGTGTCTCGATCAGACTCCATGTAGTTATTTCCTTTGAACCAGCAGCTAACCTTTATTATGGGTCTTAACTTTAACTAGCATTTAAAGTCTCTGTATCAGCACAGTGTAATTTCTATTGCCCCTTCCCTGCCTCCCTTTTTTTCTATTTTAATCAGAAAATAAAGATAGTTAAATACAGAGATAGTATTTAAGTGATGGCTTAAATGGGGGACAATCAGTACCTTAGATCCCTTTCTCTGCACACAATGGGGAAGCCTCATTAACTGCACATCAAGGGAGAAGTCTGCGTGACTGGGGACCTCAGTCATCGGCAAACTTTGGGCAGAGCTGCTGGTAAGGTACCTTCTTCCCTTCTCAGTGCTGAGAATAATAGGGAATGCCATGCAGCACATGCTCGAAGTCCTCCAGGAACCTGGACTAGAATAAATATGTTTGTCTTCCCCTCCTTGGTTTTGTCATTTGGTGTTTTTAAATCTCTCAAGCCCCTTTGGAGGTCATATCTTATTGGGAAAATGGGTACTTTGAGAAGAGGGTCCAGGAGCTTTTAAAAGCACAGGCTCTGTCTTTAAAGGAAAGTGCCTTGTAAGTTTTTTCTGTCTTATTCAGAATAGCGTTCCATATTTCGTTAGCTTGCTCCCAGGAACTCCTCTGGAGGGAATCGTGTGTGTTAGACCTTCACACAGATTATGCCTCTCCCGTAAATGTGCTTTTCCTCCTCTGGTGAACTCTTGCTGAGAAGACTCAGCTCAAATGAAATCTTTTTCGTAAATTCTTCCTTGACCATCTGACCTCCTCAGGTAAGGATGATCACCTCCTTCCCTGTGCCTCCCAAATGTTTCTTTTTTTCTTTTTTTTTGGTGGCTTAAGAGAACAGAAATTTATTCTTTCACTGTTCTGGAGGCCACCAAATGTTTCTTATGTATATCTCTAGTAGAACAATCATACTGCTGAGTTACTTGTACTTGTTCACAAACTATAGAGATGCAGGTATCTAAAATTATTTTAGTCCTTGAACAAAAATTACCGTAGTCATCTCTGTATTTGTCATAGCTGGTACAAATATGCTAGGTCCATGTTAAATAGTGTATTTTCTTTTAGACTTAACGTAGTTTATGAATTCTATTCTGTACCAGTCATCTACTCCTGTGCCAGGAACTATAAAAGCATCCATATTCTGCCCAGGCCAGTCCTAGGCACCATACGTGATATTAAACTTGTTTTATATTCCTTTTATTTATTCAGTGAGCATTATGTACAAGCATTTGTAGATTGAGTAATGTGTGACAAAGCAATATATGATTTGCAGATCCCTGGCCCTCCTGAAGGCCTACAAACTGATGCAAAATGTGGGTCCTTTATTCATTTCCTAGAAGTATATGGTACACAGTTCCATAACTACTTATGTAGTTCATTTAACAAATATTTATTTGGTGCCACCTATATATACCTTGGCACTGTTTTAGTCTCTAGGAATACAGCAATGAACCGAAATCGAAGACCTTGGCTTCGTGGAGCTTACGTTTTAGGAGGGGAGACAGACAAGAAGCAAGTAACTGTCCCCTCTTCTGTCGGGTGATAAATGTTTTTCTGCCTGGCTGCTGTGTGGGGAATAGACTGGCATGGGGAGTGAGCGGGCGTGTGAGATTGGAAACAGGAAGGTGAGGAGGTTTTTGTTGTCCAGGTGAGAGCTGATAGTGGCTTGGGCTAGGCTGGTAGCAGTGGAGGTGTGAGAAATGGTTGGATTCTGAGTGTAATTTGAAGTTGTACAAGACTTGCTAACAGATTGGACGTGGGGAGTGAGAGAAAGAGGGTAGTTAAGGAGGGCACCCAGGTATCAGCCCCAAAGAGGGACGACGTTCTCTATCCCTTGTACGGTGACAAATCTAGTTCTACCCCAGACTTCATATCTCTTGTCACTTGTCGGGAGGGCTTTCATTTTTTTTCTGGTCTTGCTTTTGTTTTTCCACTTGTGTTCATCTCTTGACCCCCTCTCTGCTCCTGTCCTATGTTGCTTTTCTCCCTCCCTTGTATCAGCAGTTCTCTAACAGTTCACTATCGTTCATATATTTCCAGCTGGTATCATTTTTTTATATATTTCATCCATTTTTTGTTTTTGGTTGTTTCCAATAGGAGAATAAATCCAGCCCTCAAGTTGAGGGTTTTGGAGAGAGTGTTACTGAGAATTATGGACCTACGGGATGCTTCTATCCCATTTGCTGCATCGTAGACACACCTGAGTTGGGGCGGTAATGTGTGGCAGACTGGTAGAGGCAACAGAGAAGGATTACATTACTTCAGAGCAAACAGCTCAAAACTGAGATGCAGACATCCATTACCTCTTGCTTCCCAGAGTCTCAGTTTCTCGGTGGCTGTCTATGCCTCCTCGCCACAGTCAGTGTGTTACTGAGTCCTCTGTTTTGGGCCACCTGACATGACCTTCATTTTTCTAGCACAGCCTCCCATTTCCCCCCAAATTCAAACTCTCTGCTTTTATTTTAGAGAGAAATTCAGGTTTTTTAATCCCCTCAGGCCATGTCTTAGAGAGAGCCCCTCTTTCAATGTTCAGAGGTCACTCCAGAATTTTCCTAAACAAAGAACATGTCCTCTGAGAGGAATTTACTGAATTCTGAGAAATCTGACTGTCACAATTTGCTTGACAATTTACAAAACTTCTAGCACATGCACTCATGCAGATTGTTGGAATTTCCACAATTTCTGGGAAGGACTCTTCGTTTTCAGTGTGATTGTGACTTGGTCCTGGTTTCCCATTGCTAATAGTCTTGTGCTAATTAACAACATAAGCTTACTGCTCAGTCTTACTTTGGTTGATGACTTTGTTCTTGTGTAACTGCCTTGTTGCCATCTTGACTGCTCTTTTATTCCTCACTGGTTCTTTTCCACAGAGTTTTGTCCCTGGAAAGTGGAGCTTGAGTGGTAGACAGGCTGCAGTTGCTCGAGCATTTAACAGAGATGAGACCTGTGCACAGATAATTGTAACACAGATTGGGTGTGATTGAGTGACGTGAGAGAGACAGACAGCCCTGCAGGAGTTTAGAGATTCTTGTTGGAGGTGAGATTGCAGTTCTTAAAGATGTTTCTTTTTGTTTAAGTAAAAAATATGAAAGTAGTACTGCCTTTTGGAAACAATTAAAACAATATAGACTATATAAACTAAAACATGGAAGTCTCCTTACTGCCCCTCCTCCCATTCCCCAGGAGGAACTCCTTGTTAACAGCTGTGTTCTTCCAGAAGGTTTTGTATGTACACACAGATTTATAGAGCATTTTTCTTTTTGTATAACAATAAGATCCTAGCATTCTGCATTTGTTTTTAATTTTAATTTGTTCTTTGAAAGGTTATAGATTCACGTGGTTCAAAATTGAAACACTGCAAAGGTAAAGTCTTCCACCTTTTCTCCCAGCCGCTCAGTTCCCCTCCCCGGGGGCAGTCAGTGCTGCCAGGCGTTTTCCCTCGCAGAGATGGCGTCTGCATATACGCATTGCCACCTCCTCCTTCCTTTCATTTTTCCGCAGATAGTGTCATACTTTACACTCTGGACCTTGCTCTTTTCATGTGTGTTCTGCCTTGAATGATGCAGTTCAGGTGCTAGCTGGGGTGTGTCCTGGCTTCTCCTGACTGAAGTATGAAGCCGCTTCTGAGAATCTAGTGGCGTGGAGGGAGACCTGTAGTGGGGTCTAGCTCCTCTGCATGAAGTCCTGCGCTAGTGACCTGAGGTCCCGGGGACTCAGGGCAGCTCAGCAACACCTGGTCTTTTAGCTCCTCCTGGCTTAGCGGAGCCTTGGGGGCTTATTGGCTCAACTATCTGGTTAAACCTGTGTATCCCCTTGGATAAATCTTGACATTGCTTCCTTTTCAGTTCTCTTCTGAATCTTATCTGCTTAGGAAGTTCCTCATTGCTGAGAGTAGCAGTTAAAAAAGCTGTTAGCCACGTGGCTGGGCTCCTGTTTCTGCACAGCAGGCTGAGTTACAGCTTGGTGGTGCAGATCCAGGTAGGAATTGGTCAACATTCTGAATCCTGAGCTGCCATCTGCCTTGCAACCTGCTGGGATGCTCAGTTTAGACAGCATATAAAGTTTCCTGGATACGAGACAAACCCAGGCCTATGGAAAGAGCAGGAAGGTTAAAGTGCATGGTACTCTGAGCAGTGACGAAGGCGTAACCAGGGAGCTGACGTGTTTGCTCCAACGCCAAGAATTCCAGGACAATATGTTATCCAGCTGAAGCCAGTGTAGTTGCTACAAAAAAGCCCTGGGACAAAGACATATTTTTTCCTGTTTCCTTTGTCTTCTCACTCCCCTGATCTATTTTCTAACGCTGTAGTGAAAGTTACTGACATTGGAAACATCTGATGGTATTTGCTCCTCTCTTTCTTGCAAGAGAATAAGAGGCTGGGCTCAGGTCAGAGCATGGCTCTGAGGTGCTAAAGGTATCAGCTTCCTGAAAGGACTTGACAGATGCTGACACTTCACTCCGAGAAACCACAGTTGGAGGGGCAGGGGTAAAAGCTTTAGGAAAATACTAGGTTTTATCAGGAAATATTTCACCAGACTAAACCTGACCTAAAGGCATCGATTGCCCTCTCCCTTTTTCTTAAAATTTTACTAGACAGAAAGGCAATAAAAGCCTGGCTTGTCTGATTTGCTGAGACCCATGTAGTTGTGGGATTGGTATCCCAGAACATCATGGGGAGGTGTGTGAAGGGGCTAAGAATTATGGGAGACGTAGTTTTCAGTGGTTGTAAATTGCAATATGAAAAGCAGTTTGGGGCAGCATGGTAAGAGAGATGAAAAGTCTCTAGCCTGACACTGATCTACGTCCCCTCACAGGCACACACGCCCACTCAGTCACACAGATAACCAACTAAATGGCCAGAAAGTGACTTTGAATTTGCTCTATGCAAAGATCTCAACTGGGTTTTGCAATATTTTTGTTTTCAGCTTTTAAATTTGGATTTATTGTTAATTATATACAATTAAGATAATACCTGGTAATAGGAAGAAAGAGAGAAAAAAATCCATTACCCACCTTGAACACTGGTGTTTCTTTGAATAATCTGTTTTTTTCTTGTATAAAAAACAGCCTGTCTTTCTACATTGTAGGGTTTTTCTGTGTATATGTATAGATATACCTTGCTTTTTTCACTTAGCATAGTAGTAACTCAGATATTTTTCCTGTATTCCTGCATACTTTGTAAATACCAATTTTAACAGCAGCATAATGTTCTACTGTTCTGAGTTTGCTTCTCCGCATTGAAAATGCTTGTTTTGCAAAAGATTTTTCTAGACTCTATAGGATAGATTTGTTCATCCCCATAATATATCATGTCTGGCTCTAAATTTTAAGTGGCTGTTTCAAACCACATATCAGTCAATTTTTGTAATTAAAATATTAAAAGGTATATAAGCCCCTGAAAAGCAGAGTTAATGACATTATTCTTGCATACACATTTGCAAAATGGAAAGCTCCTTTTGGCTGATGTGATATCAGTGTTACTGGCACTCATGCCCAACAAAAGATTCAGTTTGCTGGTCTTTAGCAAAGCCTTTCTGGAGAGAAGTCTAGTTATGTTATCTTAAAGTCTTGGAACTCTCCATTTTCAGATGACTTATACATGGATTGTTATCTCAAAGCCTCAGATCAGATTTGGAGGAAGATGCCCTTTGTCTTTTTTAACTCTATTCTAGGGCTGTGATGTGTCTTTGGGGACAAATAGGGGCAGGGAATATAATCTCGCTTCTGTCACCAACACACTGGGTGACCTGTAACAAGTCACTCGCCTTTTCTGGACCTCAGTTTCCACATCTGTCAGATGAGAAGATGGAACTGGAAAGATTAATAAAGCTCTTTCCAGCTTGAATATCTGCAGAGTTTTTCCTGTAAATATAAATATGCCACACCAGACATATTTATATTTTTCTATAGCCGGCTGCTCGATCACTGCAAGAGGGCACCTCTAGCAAGCTCTTCTGCCCCTGGATTGCCATTTGAACTTCAGTGAAGTATGTTGGAGACCAGTGTGGTATCTCGTTGAGGACTTTCCAAGGGTTGTTCTGGGCGCGGAAATCTAGCCCAGATCACTCCAGGGGACTAATCCCTGAATAATGTCCTCTGACACACACACATATTTTCTGATGTTTCTCTTGACCTTGGAACCGGTTAAAGACTGCACAGAATGTTCAATGAATTCTTATACATACTACAAGGAAGTCCCTCCTATCCTCGGCTTTTCTAAGATATGAGGCTGCCTAGTTGTGGTTTTCTATTGTTGGAGGCAGTTTAAGGGCATCCCAGTAAGACCTTGCCTGGCTGCTCTTGTCTCTCTCCACTGCAGTTCAAGTTTTCCAGGGTTCGTGGTCACAGGGACTTGGATTGTTTTGGGATCACTGTCACAGGCTTCAGGAGGAACACAAAATTATTTAGTGGAATGAGCCCAAGATTGGGAATTGGGAGAGTGGCTTCTGGCTTTGTGACCTTGAGCATGTCATTTGAAATCTCCGGGCTCAATTTCCTTATCTTTGAAGTTAGATTGCTTTCTAGAAAGGATCTTTCCTCCAGCTCTGTGGATGAGAATTTGCTCCCAGCTTTAACATGGCCCAAGGGCACTCTAGGCAGCAGTGATGATTGTCACATCGGGTACTTAACCTATTCATCCCTGTTGGCCAATGTGACTCAGGGTGACCATGCTTGAGTCATATAGTCAGTATTGACAATGGGTATATGTCACCAGGGGGTGCCAGAAGGCCCTACTGTTTACCCAGAGCTAACAACCAGACAGGACAGGGCCAGCAGGTGCTAGTTAACAACCTGCGAAAGGATCAGGGAGACCTTAGGGCAAGGGCTTTGAATTGAGCTTGTGGAAATCTCATTCTTACTGGCTGGAGGTTGATGTCTGTGCTGTGGGCTCACTGATTCTTATTTGCTCATTAACCTTTTTCTCTTATTTGAGGAAATTTGTTACTGCAGCAATAGAAAACTAATACAGGAAGCAACACAGAGGAAGCAGCTAGTCAGATTGGAGCTGGGAGGGGCTGCCAGTACCCACCGCCTTCATGAAACAGCTTAACTTGAAACCCTAGCTGTACTGACTGGGTCTAAGTGTTTCTGTGTTTTCCTCACACATGTATCAAAACACTTCTACTACCCAGAGGTCTCATAAAAATGGGAAGGAATTGGCGGGCTGGAAGCTCAGCAACTTGGGCTAGGGGACTTTTCTCTAGAATAGTGGTCCTCAGAGTGTGCTCTGTGGACCAGCACATGAGCATCACCAGGACTAGAAATGCAAATTCCCGGGCCCACTCCAAACTTCCTGAGTCAGACACTGGATGTGGGGCCCGGGACTGGGTGTTTTAGCAAGCCCCCCAGAGGACTGTGATGCATGCCCAAGGGTGAGGACCACTGTGCCAGGAGAGGGGCCTACAGGTCCTGATAGACAACAGGTCGCCCAACTCAGGGGAGCCGGCAGCCATTTTCTCCTGTGACTCAGTGCCCAGGCCAAACGAGCTGGTCTGGAGGGCCAGAGCACTCCTCCCCTCCAGAGCTCCCTGGGGAGTCATCTTTGTGCAGTCTGTTCATGTTACACGGGAGAGCTGCTGAGTTTGTTGAGTAGGTATTTATTTCCTTAGCCAAGACTAAGAAGATGGAGGGTAGAATGCTTTTCCATATGGCCTTCCAACAAGTCATATGACAGATGAGGAAACTGAGGCTCAGAGTTTAAGTTACTTTCCTAAAGTCACACTGCTAGTAAATGGCAGAGTCAGAATTTGGCTCCAGGTCTGTCTGCCCTCAAGTGCCCTTTCCGGCACACCAGTTGCATCTGAGTAGAGCCAGCTGTAAGAGATGGGCATTCTCAAGAGCTCCTGGCTCTTTTAGGAATTGAGTGACACTTGATCAAAGACCCCTGGATGAAGAAGAGATTGCTTCTGTCACCCTACAGGGCCAGAAACTCAGGACTTTGG